AATCGACTAAAACGACTTTTTTGTGTCTTTAAGTTGATTCGAGGCCTGTGTTTTTATAATTAATATTTAATAGGTATTCGTTGGCCCCTGGTGCCTTAAAAATTAATTTTTTTCAAATTACTTTCTTGTACAAAATTTTTTGGCGCATGCTTTTTCTCATCATAAATTTTTTGTATTTGTATACAATTTTTGAATCAATATACAACTTTAAAAAAAATTTCGTTTGTAAACGTTGTGTACTTCAGCTTCGTGAATTGAATTTTCGAATTTGGAATTTTAAAGAAACTTATTCCGAAATTTGGAAACACAATTATACAACTTTGGCAAAAATGATAAAAAGAATTGTCAAAATTTGACACGTCATATGGAAAAAACACGTAAAATCAGAAAAGGCCAACTTCAAGTTAGAACAGAAGGACAGACCAAGCATTTTATTATTATATAATAATTAATTTATTTATTTATTTTTATTTAGTTGTGTAAGTAATCATAATATTTAGTTAGATATAAAATAAAATTTATAGAAATTGTTAGTAATTTTAAATATTAAAAATAGAAAACTAAAAATCGTTTAATAAATAAAATAATTTTTCCCCATTAGTTTTTTCTTTTGAAAATTATTTTTTAAATGAAATTTTTAACTAAATTCTCATTATTTTTCACATAGTGAAATCTGAAAATATTTTTAATATTTAAGTAGTATTTCAAATTAACAATTATGTTTAGAAATTTTTTTTTTGTAATCCATTAAAATTTTATTTTTATTCTAAATATAAAAACAAAAAAAATTCAAAAATGTTGTAATTGCAATAAAAAAATATATATTATTTTCATAGACAATTGTTTTCTGAAAGTTTTGAGAAATTCATATAGGTATTTTATATTATTATTGTATTTTATGAATTAATTGAGTTAACCGTTAAAATCATAATCTTTTATATCCATTATAAGTTTATGTAGAAAAGGTGCTATTTTTTGCTCCATTGACTTACAGGAACGTATAATTATTGATGTTTAATAGAATTTAATTAAGTGGAAAAAAAGTTATGATAAAATTGTGCCAAAGAGAAATTGTACCTATATTATAGGGGAAAAAAATATATATAGAAGCGGAAATTTAACTTATTATTAAACAAAAAAATATTGAAATCCCCCGTCAATTTTCGTAATCTTTTTTTTTCAATATTGTCTTTTTATTACAAAATTTTATTTATTTTTGTTTCAGATAAATTGCGGAATTCATCGCACTTTCAAAAAAGGGGTGAGTTTAAAAAAAAAAAATTCTCAGAGACAAATAAATATTTACTCATTGCAAATAAATATTTATTTGTTAGAAATAAATATATTTATTTATTGCAAATTAATTTTTTTACAAATAAATATTTATTTATTTCAAGTAAATATTTGTTACAAATAAATATTTATATATTGCAAATTAATATTTTTCCATGAAAAACCAAATTTTTTATTTACACCAAATAAATAGGCCAGTAGGCTCTGAGACAAAGATTCGTTTATTTGACTGAAATATATTATATTTGTTTCAAATAAAACATTTGGGTGTATAGTATAATTACAGCGCATTTAATTATCTATTAAATTATTTTTTATTATTTTTTTCTTTTTTTTTGTATTGAAATATAAAAATATTCACTGAAAAGAAAATTTACTTGATTCAAATAAAAAAATTATTTAATGCAAATAAATATTTATTTGCACCAAATAAATATTCCATAATAGTCAAGTAACCGATTATTTGAATGAAATAAAAAATTTTTTTCTCTTTTTAAAATCATATAGTATAATTTTTTTAATTATTGAATATTATTAATGTTTATAATTATAAACTCAATATTATATATATATATATAGTAATTCCAGAGGGAGTAATAATATTTCTCGAATTTGATTATTATCGCGGGAATCATTAATAAATGATGTCGTGGAAATATAAATATATATATATATATATATATATATATATATATATATATATATATATATATATATATATCGATGAAATGTTTATTGCTTCCAATTTTACTTTTATAATCTGTCACATTCACTGTGAATGGAATATGTCAAATGGTTTTTAGAGCATGTATTGATAATATCGTATTAAACGGAAAAGAAAAGAGAAAAAAAAAGTGAAATATATATATATATACAGAAAAGTCTCAGTGCATCGAACTTATACATTTTCATCGTATAATAAATACAAATCGTGATCTCAAACGAACGAAAGGTATCTCAAGGACTCTTAAAGTGTATACGTAGTTATTATAACATGTAAAACACTAACTTTGAAATGCAAGAACTCTCTTTCTCTCTCTCTCTCTCTCTCTCTCTCTCTTTATATCGAGAGATCCAATTAATGGTGGATCCGGGAGGAAGAGGAAAGATGTCTATCACAATATGTACAAGAATTATTATTATTATTATTATTAGTATGTTCATGCAAAAGAGTATATTAAAAAGGAAACTGAAACTTCAGGAATAATTAATCATTACTGTGTAGGAAAAAATAATTTTCAAAAATTTGACTGATAGAAAAATATTTTGAGAAATTAAAAATAGATTTTATTTTTGATTTTCATTTAATTTAATTTCAATTTTTTTCGAATTTTTCTAACAATTCTAACTCATCGGAAAAAAAATTTTATTTCCATTCGCATATTATTTTTTTTCTCTGAAAAATTATTATACTCAATATTTGTATTAATTTTCGTATTAATATTGTATTATTGGACATGGAAAAAAATTTTATCTGAAACAGCGATATATTTCTCTAGAATAGCGAAAACTTTCGCTATTTTAGTGATATATATCGCTGTTCCAGGTGAAGATTTTTTTTCTGTAAAAATATAATAAAAAAATACTGCGGTATTTTTTATTATATTTTTAAAAAATGATTAAAAATAATATATGAATGATTTAAAAAAAAAATAATAATAAAAATTTAGTCAACTTTTTATTAATTTGAATTTTAATTTGAAAATAGAATTTTGAATAGAATAGAAATGCAATAGAAAGAAAACAATTTCATCGAGTTGAAATAATAAGGAAATTTTTAAATATTTAAATTATGATTTTTATTATTATTATTATTATTATTATTATTATATAAAAATTATTAAAATTATTTTTATTATTATTCATTGTTCGAAAGTGCCTTTGTATTATATTAATGAAGGAGAAAAAAATTTCTTTTTTTTTTTTGTAAAAATGCAAAATTAATATAAATATTTGATTGGCATATATGTAAAATTATTATGGGATTTAAATTGAAAGAATTGAAAATTTAGAATTGAATGGAAAGCCATTTGATATTGTGCAATTTATATATATATATATATATATGAAGCGTTTATTATTGCGACGCGATAGGCAATATAAAACGAATCTCATTACCATTCCTTCCGTGAAGTTCGTGTATGTATAGAGAGACGACGACCCGTTACTAAATATGAAAGGAAAGCATTCAACTATTATAAATGAGGAATTTCCATTTTTTTTTTCTTTTTCTTGTATTTTCCCAAATGTCGATAGAAATTCCTCGCACTTGATGTATAATTGATGATGATGATTTAATATAAATTACATTTTTTATCATTCACACGAAAAATACTTTACTATTTGTTCAGAAATTTCTCAATAATTTGTAGATAAATAGAGAAAAAAAAATTGTAATTGAAAAAAATAATAGGAAAATAAAAATAATAAAAACAATAATAATGAAAAATTTAATAATAATAATACAAATGATGAAAATAATAATAATAAATAATAATAATAATATTAATAATAATTATTATAATTTATTATAATAAAAAAAAAATTTGAAGTGATTTTTATTTTTTAATGAATACAAGTCTAGAATAAAATTTTTATTGCTTATTTTTCAATTTGACAGTTACCGTGTCTATATGTTTCAAGCGAAAGTATACATAAACGAAAAATAAAGCAAGGTCAATTGCCCTGGAATTAATGAGTGTGTGATGATAATTAGGTACTTGTAAATGTCAAATGAAGCCACCATGTATAAAAATACTTTAAATTAAAATTACCTTTTTTTTGGAAAGTTAAGCTTTTTTAAATAAATTATTTGCGAGATATATATATAACGAGCACATGAGAAAAATTATTTAATTAAATGATATTAAATATATTGCTAATTAAGTTATTTATTATATTGCCAATTAAGAAATTTTATTTTACACATTTTTAATTATTATATAAATTGCATTAATTTGAATTTGAACAAATTTTTAATTTCCACTTGAGAAAAAAAAAATGGTTTTAAAAAGCGTGTTAAAAAAATATGTTCTTTCCTTGAAAAGAAGTATTTTTATTTGTAATTTTTTTTATTTCTCTTTTTCATTTTAATTTTTTATTTCAATTTTTTATTTGTTTAATTAAAACTGTAATTAATTATTAAATAATTTGATTAATATTTTTCCTCAATTAATTAATTAATTTAATTTAATTAAAAATAAATAAAAAAGAATAATAAATTTCTTTTTTACTTTTGCCATGTATAAAAATTCACCAGCACCTTTTTTACAAACAAACAAAAATATGATTAAATAACACTTGTTAATATATGATATACAGTTGGCGTAGAAAAAAATATTCTTCATTTGACTATAACATTTACCGGAAATGAGTTTGAGGAGATTTGAATTTGTAATGCAATACGAGAAAGTGCGAATTGAGAATGCAACCGATATATTGCATGGGTATGCAGGTACTAATTATTGTTCACGTTTAGCGTAAACTTTTCAGTCTTCTCGAATCGGGCTCACACACTCCCATTGCACTTCTGAGGCTTAAAAAAAAATTTTTTTTTTCACATTTAAATCAAAACGAAAATTGAAATTATTCTTCACTTTCAACATTTTTATTTTTATTAATTAAAGAAATGATAAATAAATTATTCAATAAAATTGAAAAAAAACAATAAATTAAAAAATTAATTAATTAACAGTAAATAAAAAAAATTTATTAACTTTTAAATAACATTTATTTCACATGTTATAATTATTAAAATCACAATTTATTATTACGATGCAGGACTGAGAAAACATTTTACTTAAATATCGTATCTACATATAAAAAAATTAATTAAAACTAATTAAATTAATTTACTTTTCGGTTTTTTAATATTGTTCTTACAAACTCTTTTTTAGTTGAATATCTTTGATTTTTATTTTGAAATTTTACAAATGATTAAAATTTTCAAAAAAAATCAAATTTTTCATTTTCACCATTAAAACAATATTAATGCAATTTTGTTTATATATGGCCATAGAAATATTGTTTTAATAAAATGAAAAATTTGGATTTTTTTTTTCAAAATTCTAATTTCATTTCACATTTGTTCCATTCAATTAATTATCGGCTTTTAATTAATCAAATGCATTCAACTAAATAATTGTTTTTAATATTAAAATTATTATCACTATATTTCGATGTTTATTAAAATTGTTTTTAATTTATATTTTAAATTGAGAAAATTTGATTTAAAAATTTTGCAAATTCTAAATTGTATATTTTACAATTTACAATATATTTGGTACCATTTATAATTGTAAACAATATTATATACAATTTAGATTATTAATTTTTGACGAATCATTTTTTTTCAATTTATATATATATATATATAATTATTTAACTTTTTTGTTGATTTTATTTATATTCCCGTTTTTATCTTGTAATACTTCTTTCATAGGAAAAAAAATTTAATGCTTCTTTGCAAAAAAACTTTTGATGACGATTAATGTAGCTTAATTTAAATGTTTTTTTACAATGATTACATTGTTTCATTTGATGAATCATTTTTTTATGTATCTTTAATTTTTGTTTCGAAACATATTTTCTCTCACAACTTTCACATGAAAACATTTTTATCATTATTCTCTCTCGCTTTTCATTTTTTAATTCTTCATTTTTATTATAAACGGAGATTTCTTTTTCATTTTTCCGCAAAGTTGACAAATTTAAAACATTTTCACATATTGTAACCTGTGGAATAAAAAAAATAATTTATAAAATTTTTATTTTTTTTTAATTTTTTATTTATTATAACGTTATTATTTTTTTTATTAATAATTTATAATATATAATAATATAGTTAATTTCAATAAATTTTTTATCTAATAGAAGAAAAATAAAAGTTTTTTAGTGTATAAATTATTTAAAAAATTGTTTTCTTATCAAGGAATAAATAAAATAAATTTACTTGTGTTTGAGTGTAATCATTCGAATTTTTTTGAAGCCTAGGAATATTCAATGACGTTAGATGATTCCTTAAATTTTCTTCAGGTTGCGTTTCCATTTTCGTCTGAAGAAATTCATTTGTATTATTTTTCGTTTGCAATTGAAGACAATTATTATTGAAAATTTCAACAAGTTGTGTCTCCATTTTTGTTTGATCTTCAAATTGAGGATTTATTTGATGATTATCATTGGATATCTCTTCAGTTTGTGTTTCCATTTCAATTTCATGTTCATCATCATCACATTCATCAGAAATTTCATCAGAAATTTCATCAGTTTCTGGAACAATTTCCTTTTGTTGATAATAATCATTGGGAAAAATTATTTTCGTAGTCTCATTTAATGAATCAACATCATCATCCTCATTATCACTTTCAAAATCAGTTTGTGTACATTTTTCATTATTTAAAGGTTTTTGTAAATTCACAATTGCCAAATATTTATTTAATTTCCAAATTTCAGTGATTAATTTAATTCCAAGATGCTGTTCATTTTTAATTTCGTTAATTTTTTTATCAAAATTATTTTTATAATCACAATTCATTGTAATTAAATCTTTTTTAAGGCTCACAATTTTATTTTCAATTGAAGCCTGTTGTTGAATTTGACTCACTTGTTGATTAATTGTATTTTTTAAATTATTATTTTCTGATCTCAATTTTTCCAATTCAAGATGTAGCTGGAAATTGTTGCCCATTAAAAAATTTGAATTTAGCCCTGCAAAAAGGAAAAATTTATTTCATTAGAATTATTAAAATATTTATTATTAATTCGAATAAATGTGAAACATAATTTCAAACTTTATTTCCATATTTTGTCTTTTAGTTTAATTTCTTTGTTCTATTTGTTTCTTATATTGACAATTAATTTTCAAAACAATTCCAAAATAAGGTTTTTTTTTGACAATTACTATATTTGTCAAATTATTAAATTTTCAGTAATTTGTCTAAAATTATTATTAAAGTGTAATTTATTAATCATTTTAATTACTTACTGAAATTATCAGACTGTGGATAATAATATGTCATTTTTCCTCTTTCGTTTTTTTTTCAGTTCAAGAAAAAATTCGAATTTTTTTTCACACCTCAAATTATTTCAAAAAAATTTTTCGTCACAAAAACTTTATATAACAAAATATATAAATTTCCAATAGCTTCATCGATCTTTTCTCAATCTAAGGAAACATCAAAGTGATTATTTTTGTTTTCATAAATTAAACCTTTCGAAAAGAGGTGGAACAAATAATATTTCAAAATAAATGCTGAAATATTGATGCTAGATTAAAAATAATTTACTATTATTCTATAACTGAAAAATAATTTTTGGAAAATTAGATTTAATGGAAATTTTAAAATTAAAATGAATTTTAAATTCATTTCAAAATTATTTTAATTAACAAAATTAAAATGGTGAATAAAAAATAACGAGAAATTTTATTTAGGTTTACGTGTAAGTATATTTCATTGTAAATACAGTAGATATAAAACTTTTCCTTCTCCTTTCGCGTATCAAAAGGGATTTTTTTTTTAAATATACTAAGCGAGATAAATAATGTATAAAATGTGGCGTTTTTTTTTCTTTTTTTCTCAATACAGACGAAAATTTCATTTTCTCACTTATTATTCAATGATGACCAATAAATTACAAAGTTACACACTCTATAATATTTATTAGTTATACTATAATTAGTACGCAAAACAAATGCCCTTCGCTTTTTTTGCACGCACTCACGCACACACATGCTTTTCTAGAAACGCAGACTGAGAAAAAAAAATTAATGAAAAATTTGTTTTTCGAGACATATGATCACAATTATTATAATTTTTTTTTTTTTTTTTGACAATAATTTCCATTCTCACAGTATTGGAAATATTTTCCATTTTGAACAATTTTATCAAAAAAAAAAAAAATTGACAAGTTTCTTGTATAATATCAAGGGACTAGATATGATTTTATTATCATTTAAAAAATAACTTTTTATTTTCAGAAACTCGTTAACTGTGAAAATAATATTACTGTTTGTTTTTGTAAATACACATTCGTTCTTGATTTTTTTTTCTAATTTTAGATTTTGATTTTTTTCTAAAATGCTATTTTGAGCAAACTGAATTCTTCATTATAGAAAAAACGGGGAGCTTGTTTGATAATTGGTAAAGCTAATTATTATCATATACAGGGACAACTGTGCTTCTTAAAAAAGTTCATTATAAATTACATGATTTCTCTGATCCTGAGATAACGAGAATTGATTTTTTTTTATCATGAAATTAAAAAATGTTTTATTAACAATTGCACTTGTTTAAGGAACAGTTTTTTATTCTTTTACATTTTTATTGTTGATAAAAAATTTAATTTATCCAAAAATTTTTTAATTGAAGTAATTTTTAATATATTTAAATTTTGTTTAAAATTAAATTTCTCTTGAAATTTTAAATAAAATTTAAAGAAACTAAAAAAATTGAATATTTTTCTTCTTTTCGGTAATGAATTTTTTTTTTTATCTGAAAACACAATTTTTTTTTTTTTTCATCAAAATTAATTAATAAAATGTTTCTTGATTTTTTTAAGGCATTTACCAGAAACGCTGGTCTCGATACAAAAAATATGAGCATTTTTTGTGCGTCTTCGATTTACGTTTCAGCAAAAAAAAAATATGCGAAACTGTATAAGAGTGCTTTGAGATTTTTTTTACACGACGAATTATTTACCTCTTTTTTCTACTCATATCACCGATTCAACAAATATTGATTGTGAAATTGAAGTTAAATCACATTTTTTTTTCATTAAAACTAGACAGACGTTTACAAAACATAAAGATGGCTGGCCTTACACTTTGAATCTCTCAACAAATATAAAAAAAGGCAAAAGCCTTACTTTCAAAAATTTCATATAACTTTTTTTTTTTTTTTTTTTTTTAACAATATTGAACAGTTGAGAAATTTTGTGCGTAAGCCAATTTTATTTACATAAGTTATTATTATTAGTTCTGAAATATATTTTGAAGAGAGTATATGACATTATAATATTATTAATGCAAAATTTTATTTAAAATACCTATTCATTTTTTGGAAAACTTTTTCAGGCAAAATAAAAAAAATACTCTCTGCACTATACTTAGACGATAATAGTTAATAAATAAACTTTTCTTTCCTACAAAATATTACAAGCTATTCTTGAAAACTTGACTAATGCTTCATTAAATAATCGAAAGCTTAAATTGTATAAACGTAAACTGGGAAATAAATGCAGTCTTGACTTTTCTAACAAATAACTATCGATTGAAACTATCAATATTCTCACGTTTAAAAGAGAATGCCCATTAAAGAATATTAGTTTCAAATCGAATTTAAATGAAGAGGCAAAAATATAATTAAAATAAAAGAGATTAAAAATCATAAATTTCTATAAATTCCACAATAAAATTTGTAATTTTGTAAAATTCTATTTAAAAAAACGGGGAAAAAATGACTAATTTTTTTAATAAAATTTGATAATTGATAATTTTAAAATTCGGTATTAATTCTAAATTACTAAAAAAAAAAAAACAAAATTGTTAAAAACTTTTTCTCCATTTTATATCTAAGATTTTATTTTCGAGCATTGTGACCAAAAACTCTGATAAACGTAAAAATATTCTTCACTCAATTTACAATTAAACTTCGCTCTATACTTTTTTTCCAAAGTTAAATTAATACGAATTATATTATATTCGAGACTTCAAGTGAATTTAAAAAATCACTTTTGAAAATTTGTTTCCTTGCAAATATAATTTTTATACAGCTGCAGTATCTTCAGTATTACGAAGAAGCGATGCAGCTTTAACAATATCACCTTCACACTGACTAAGCATTACCTTACAATCTTCAAGACCAACAAAATTATTTTCCTTCTTTAATAAACCCTGAAGACGTTCCAATTTAATTGCATCGTGAATTTTCCAATCGGTTACATTCAATGCAGCAACACACGATTCAGGTGTTGTTTGTTCACGTAAAATTTTCAACATAACACGTACCTCATCTGATTGTTCACCATTTTGTGGACCACGTGTTCTATGAGCATTTGGTCGATCATAAGCAAAATCTAAAAGATCTTCACATGAAACATGATCCGATTGTCGTGTTAAATCACTATTATTACGATTTAATGATCGTTGATATTGTCCCGTTTTAGTTTGAAACTCATCATTATTTGTTGTTGTTGTTTGTACTTTTGGCGTGGGATTAATATTAAATGGCGAAACAGTTGATGTTAAATTGCAGGAATTTCCTTTCATTAATGAAACGAGAGAAATATTTGTTTCTGATTTTGATTCTTCAGAATGTATTGATTGATCACGATTAAAATCACAAGCTTCCATATTGTCTGGCAAGAATTTTTTGGCAGAGCTTTTTGATTCGACACTAATTTTCCTTTCATTGACAATTTGTTCTGTTTCATTATCGGATTGATTTTTTTCATGTGATTCAATTAAATTGTCTGAAAATTCAAGTAGATCCTCTGAAATCACACTGCAACGATTTAATTTATTATCATCGGCTGGTAAAGAGTCTAATGCAGCCAATTCAGAGTCGATTCTTCTTTCAAATTCCTCAGGACTGAAACAAAAAAAAAAAAATCAGGATTAGGGTAGAATGACAAAAGGGGTCAAGCGCCAATTTATCGAAAATGAGGTTTTTGCATAAAAAAAAATCAAGAAAATTCATTTACACATTTCTGTAGAAGGATTTCCTTTTTTATTGCTTATTTAAATCAGTTTTTAATAAAAATTAAATTAATAAAATAGCCTCAAATTTACTTTATTGCAACCTGATTGAAAAATAAAAGAAAGTCAATAATATTATGTAAAACTTAACAAATTTAAAAACATTGCTTTTTACAAATCGAAAATGCCTCGCGCAGATGCGGAAAAAATCTATTAATAAAAAAGATATTGTTAAAAAGAAACGATATGAAGGTGAAATGTTCTTTAAAAGTAATGGGGAAAAAGTTTTAGCTAAAGAAGTTGTAAATCAGGTACATATGTATATGTAACCTAAATTAATAATTTTTTTGAATTTTTATTATTTTTGAATTAAAAAATTTTTACCTGTATATTTAATAATATTAACAAATTTTTTTTTTAATATTTTAAATTAATAACATTGATGAACGTTTCAAAAAGTTTATTAATATTATTATAAAATAAAAGCTTTGAAATGTTTTTATGAATTTCATTCTTCACATTTTTATCCATCTGTTCAATTTTTATCAAAAATATAATTTTGTTAGGTTTTATTTTAATATTTTATTTTAATTTTATTTTAATAATATTTTAATTAATAAAATTAATAATAATAATAATATATTTTCAATTTTAAACAATTTTAAAATCATTTTGTTATTAATTTTTAAATATTTTTATGATTATACTAAATGAACAATTGAATTTAAAGATGAAATGATTGCTCAATTCCAAAGCAAGCAATTAAATCGTAATTTTCTTGAAAACAAACAATTTTTTAAAGGAATTTTTTTTTCTATTCATTTCGTCAATTCCATAGAAAGAAACTAATTTTTCAGTTTTTCTTTAAACTGTATATTTTTTTTTTATAATTAACACAGGTTTACAGTGAAATTGTCACTCGAACAAAACATTTTTTTTTTCGATTAATATGTGTTTTTTGAATAAGAAAATCATATTTTAAATTTTTTTCCCTCATGCAATTTTTTTGTAACAGCAAATTATGCATTTTCGAGATGTGACGTCACATAAAGTCACCGGTAGAGAAAGCAGTTAATCCAAATGTAAAAATTAAATCACCATTTGAAAGATAATTAAATTACCTTTCAGACCATTGGTCAACCAATAAAATCCATTCAAAATTGTCAGAGTTACAGTCGATCAAAGTTCAAATTTCAAGCAAATTTTAATGATTTTTAGACATTCGTCTAACTTTCGCTAATTTTTTCAAAGTCAAACAATCAAAAAAAGGTAAGTTTTAATTTTTTTAATAATAATAATATAATTATTAAAAAAATTGTTTGACTTTGAAAAAATTAGCGAAAGTTAGACATTAATTAAAAATAAAAATTAGTTAAAAATCATTAAAATTTGCTTGAAATTTGAACTTTGATCGACTGTAACTCTGACAATTTTGAATTGATTTTATTGGTTGACCAATGGTTTCAGAGGTAATTTAATTATCTTTCAAATGGTGATTTATTTTTTACATTTGTATTAACTGCTTTCTCTACCGGTGACTTTATGTGACGTCACACCTCGAAAATGCATAATTTGCTGTTACAAAAAAATTGCACGAGGGAAAAAAATTTAAAATATGATTTTCTTACTCAAAAAACACATATTAATCGAAAAAAAAAAATGTTTTGTTCGAGTGACAAAAAAAATTTGAAATTTGTAAACCTGTGTAATGCTTAAAGAAAATGTGCGCAGTTGATATAACCTTAAGGCACCAGTTTTTTTTTTTTTAATTTTATCGTTAATATGTAGGTTAATTTCAACAAATTGTTGTTTATTTATTAAAACATACTAATATATTGAAACGGTTTTCTCAGTTTTTTTTTAAATGACCTGCAAAATTTTTAAAAATGTTTTTTTTACTTCCTGTAAAAACAGTGAATTGGCGCTTGACCCCTTTAGTCATTCTACCCTTCATATTTATTCTTCATTTATCATTGAATTTTTAAAAGTTAAAAAAGAAAACTAACATGGAAAAAACGTGTAAAAAGCGAAAAAAGATGAAAATAGAAAAAAAAAAATACCCTGGGTTCAATTTACCTGCTCGGCGCAATATCTGGAATGAATCCATCTTCCGATGATCCTTCGATAATTGAACATCCTTCTTGTATCATAAATGACGAGTGTCCATCGACTTGATCCTCTAATGGTGGATTGATTTCGGCCATTTTTGCAAGTGTCCTCGTGACACCACCACCGGGAATAATGAGAGGATGCTTTCTCTGATGTCTTGGTAAACTGGATTTTGGTTGTAATGTTTTTGAACGATCGCGTGGCGGTAAAGGAATTGGATTACCATCGACGTTATTTTGATTTTGATTATTTTCAATTTCCAATGAATGATGCCTCTCAAGATTTCGTGTTTGTGGAATTGGTGGTGGTGCTTGCGATGGTGGTGGAACACGTTTTGGTAATGTTTTTGCACCGCTATGATGCATATTATCAAATTGTAAAATATGATCACTCGTCATCTCTTCAAGTTGTGTACCAGTGTGACCCAATGTTGCATGTTTATTGCCCCTTATCCTTGGTCTGACAATTGGTAATCCAGAACGTAGCATTCGCAGTGGATTTGTGTCGGTTGTATTTTCAATTATTGGCGTCTCAACAAGACTGTTGTATACTTCCTTGGCCTCATCCGATAATGTAGTCTAAACAAGCCGTGTAGGGTGGGAACAGATTTTCAGGAGAGAAAACAAAAAAACAAAAGAGAAAATTAAAATTAGAAAAAAAAGGAGATAAAAAGAAAAAATAATTAACCAAAATATAAAGAAAATCAAATTCTTAATTTGTAAAAAAAAAAAGAAAAAAACATTTTAGTCTTACATAGAAGTTTTGCTAATTTTGGTGTCTAATATATTTGACTATATTTTAAATAAACTAAATATTAATTTTTTTTTTTAAGAGCGTGTGTGCATATTGTGAGCGAAAAATAATTTTTACATTTCTATGCGAGACTCTATTTTTTAGGAAGGTTGTATAAAAAAGGGGTCATTCAAAAGTATCATCTCGTTGTGTGCATATCAAAAATTGTTTTCTTTTTATCAAAAACCAGTCATGTAGAAAACTTATTTCTATTTTTTTTTTTCTATTAAAGATCCAGTAAAAAGGAATCTTTCTAGCAATACTACATTCTATTATAAATGGTATACAAATTGCAAATATATCTACATGTCTTATTATTATTGAAAAGTGTCCAGCGATTAAGCGAGGAATTTTTTACATGCTCTTGGAATTATTATTGTTTCAAGGTGATAAATTCAAATTTTGTCTCAAAATCGTTAACTACTTTTTTTTTTTTTAAATTACGATTTTGGAAAATAATTAACAAATTACTATGAAAATTGTAGAATTTTTGAAATTTTTTATTTTATTTGAAATGATTTTTTTTTTACAAAAGAAAATCTAGATTCACTAAAGAATTTTTTTATGAAAATATTTTTTCTAATAAGTTCTAATTTTCTAATGAAAAAGGCTAAGTTTTTTTTTTTTTAATTCCCTGAGTGTTGTCCTATTTAATAACCTCCTCGACACTGGACACCCTGATGTTCCCTGATAGTTTCAGATTTTTTTTTTTTTAAACATTAGTACCGCTGGATTTCTACTTGTTTTGTTATTAAAGTAGACGTGCGTTACATGCAAACATGCTAAAGCACGAAACACAAAAATCTATTATAAAATTTCCTGTCCTTTCCAATTAAAAAAAAAAAAAAAACCCACTGTCTATTTTTTCCAAAATTACAAAAGTATCTAAATTTTTCCTTTGAAGAATTTTCTTTAAAAAATTCAGAAAATATTTTCTTTTTCTTAAGGAGCTGGTGATGGAGGGAAGGTTAAAATATCATTGGTAAATTCAGGATATTCCGAGCTGGTGTCTGAATCTAAATCAGAATTACTGGTGAATGTTAAACTTGAACTTGGCGCACTTTCAGGCCACGATAGTAAATTATTTCTCGATGAGAAAGGTGGCGATAATGAATTCAAAAAACTTGTCGAAGGCGGTGGTGATTTACCACAAAGTTCTATTGAAGAAAAACCTCTAGCAGCATCAGGATGTAAAAATTGACTACGATTTTTAAAATTTAATCGTAAATTATGTGACATTCTTTTATGACGACGTTTATAGCGCAATCGACTTCGAATATCAGTTTCCGAATGTGAAATTGAATCAGAATCATCGCTTGAATCATTTTTTGGATGAAATGAACGTCTTGCATTGCGTAGAGGTGATTTTCTATGTTCCGAAAGTGACGATGTCCTTGGTCGAAATACATTAAAATTCCCCTGATTTTTATCACTGAAAATATCATTTTTACCCAATTCTTTTCTACTGTCATTCTGATAAAGTTTCGGTGGCTCTAAAATATGTTGATGCAATGCTGGACTATTTTTTTGATTTAATTTCATAACACTTTGTTTTCCCTGTAATGGTACATTTAAATCGAGATGTTTTGGTTTTTGCATTGGTGTTGCACCTAAATTACGAAGTGGTGTTTGTGTTTGACTTGGAATATCCAAATTTCTCATCAAAGAAACATCAATATTTCGTGAATTTTGCTCAATATTTTTACCAAGTTGTATCATATTTTGTGTTAATTTACCCATTCCTAAATTTAAAACTTGTCCTTTCTTTGAATCGAGATAATTTTTCACACTCTCCATACCTGAGATTTCGCGTTGATATTTTTCGGCAAATATTTTACTACTCAATTCAACTTGTGAATTTGCCTCGGCATCGGATTTTCTTCTTAAACGTTGAAAATTCACGCGAAGACTTTCTGAACTACTGTAAATTGGAGAATCTTTTTTCTCTGGTTCAGTGACAAATAAAGGATTATTTGACATTACAAAAGAAAAATTATCGTGTCCATTTTGATTTTGTTCAATTTTTCGAAAACTTTGTATATTTATTCTCACGGCTTCTAAATTTCCTCTTGAACCATCGGTTTTTAAACCACATTTCTCACTTTTTTCTTGTGTTGTTGTTCTTGGTACAAAAGAAACTTTTCCTCCGCGTATTTTTTGTAAATCAAATTTTTTCAATTCTGCATTCAATTTTGTTGATTCGAGAACCTTTGGCCTTGTTCCAAAATCTAAATTTACTTTATCCCTTGGTAAATCAAATTTCAATGATCGATTACGTGATGATTCAAAATTTCCAGCATTCTCCTTGGAATCAAAATTTTTATCATTAACATCAAATTCCGTTCTTTTTTGATCGGAATTGAGATTCATTGCTTGTACATTAAGTTCGGGGAAATTGGAATAAAACATACTGCCATGTTCAAGATTATTTATTTTTTCAAAATTTTCCGTTAATTTTGATTCAATAGGCGATTCAACAGTATCATCGTCATCGTCTAAATATTTTGGTTGATCAAAATAACGATCGACATAACTTGTCGAAACTCTCTTTGCTTCACGTGGAAAATCCATATTCGAATTTTCCAAAGTGTACGATAATTTACCATTTTGTTTTGCATTTTTTGTCTCTAAATCGAGTATTGATTCACAAGCAGCGATACTTTTACGATTTCCATTTTCTAAGAATTCAGCCGATTTCATTAAATTTTGCTTTGTCGCATTATTATCCAATATATGATTGTCAAATTCAACATTCATATATGAAGTCCAGGCACTGGGTTTGGTCAAGAGTTCACGTGATTTCGCAAAACAAAATTCCGCTGACGCTTTGTCCCAAAGTGGTAATTTTAAAGTGGATGGCGCACCCAGGGACTCTATACTAGACACCGTTGACGATAAAGACTGTAAACTCGAGCACAACCACTAAATAAGCAACACACAAAAAAATACAAAATCATGCAGCAAAAAGAAAAATAAATAAAAGCAATGACAAAAAAATGCAAGCAAGACAAATTACAAACACGGGGAAATAAAACCAAAAGCAAAAATACATTGAGAACAAAATGCAATTAAGGTTTAATAAATAAATAAAATAACGAGGAAGATGGAATGAAACAAAAAAATAATTAAAAAAAAAAAAAGGAACAGGAAAATGGGAAAAGATGAAATATTAGTACCTTTGCGTTAGTAAGCTTTTACCATAAAAATAATAAGAATTTTTTTTCTCACAAAACATTTAAAAATTATTAAAAAAAGAATAAGAGATTACCATTTAAGAATTTTAAGTATCGATAAATTTAATTTGGCGTCAGGAATTAACACTGTTCCATAACTATTTTTTTTTCTACTAATTTTATCCAAATTTTTTTTTTTTTTTTTTTGTTAGTTGTGTATCTAAATTTGGAAAAAGTGCAAATAGGAGAGCCCTGTATTAGAATGAGATAAAATAAACTGTAGATTTAATAACTAGTATGAGTGTTGAAGTGTCAAAATGTTGTGATTCCGATTTAAAATTTAGAATTTTCTTTTTTTTTCATATAATTTTGAAGAATTTTTCTTTTTTAATTTCTGATGCATTTTTATATTGAGAATTTTAATATCAAATATTCTGATTTTGTTAAATTTTTATTATATGGAATAAAAGTTTATTTTTGAATTTAAAAAAAAATCATTTAGGAGATATGGATTTTATTTTCGATGAAACAAAAAAAATGGTGCAAAATTACTGACAACTGTTATTGATAATTACAGTTAATTATTGTAACTACTATCGTTGAGGTGCATAAATATTTTTATTTAAAATAAAAATTTTTATTTAATCTATAGAGAAAATAATATTTTTTTAAATAGAATTTATATTTGACGGAATTTTTGATTAACTGAACTTTAATATAATAAAATATCGAATTTATTTTACCGAATATTTTGTCAACTGAAATTTGGATTTAACAAAATTGTTAATTAATCAAAATTTAAAATGAATTTCTTATTTTAGGAAATTTTCAAATTACCGCGTTTTTATTTAGCAGAATTTTCATTTAAGAAATTTATTTAATCGAATTTTTATTTTATCGAATTTTCCATTCCATTTAATATAATAGAATTTCTATTTTACCGAATATTTTGTCAACCCAAATTTCCATTTAACAAAATTGTTAATTAACCGAAATTTAAACTGAATTTTTTATTTTGAGAAATTTTCTTCTAACCGTATTTTTATTTAACAGAATTTTCATTAAATAAATTTGTTATCGAATTTTTAAATGGAATTAATTTATCGAATTTTTCATTCGATAGTAGCCACACAATCATTTAATGAATTCAATTAAATAGAAAATATTTTTAAAAAAGAAATTCATTTTACAAGCTAAAATGTAAATAAATTGAAATCACGAAAATAAAATCCACAAATCTGTAAATGTTGAAAAAAAAAATTGTCATCAATTATTATTGTTTTATCGTTAAAAGTATGTGAGATTTTCTTTTTTGATCGAATTGTACCTGGATGTCAGGTATACTGGCGGCTTCCTCGGAAAAGTGTCGTCTGTCTGGTTTAGGACTGTGTTGATGTGGCAACTTAAAAGAAAACTTTCTACGTCTTGAGGGACTGGCAGGTGTACGTGGCGATTCCTGTGGTTGCTCAAGATCTGTCATGGAACGTGCTGTCAATTCCTGGGCCATTGCAATGGCCGAGTAGAGTGTTTTCTGATCTGCCGCTGATATAGGCTTCACCTAGATTCAGGAAAAATTCTTACCACATTTGGATAATAAATTTTTTTTGCAACGCTATTCTCGTTGACTGTTGAACATTACTTGTTGAACTCTCTTTCTCTCAGCAAAAATTAAATCAATCCTATATATTTAAAAAAAAAAAATCCCTCCTACTATTTTAATGGAGAATAAAATCTACCTTTTTTTAAAAAAAAACATTAAAAGCAAACATCATTGACGAATCAAGGAATTTTGATATTTATATTGTTCGGAAAAAAAGAAAGCGATAAAAAAATATGCGAGTCATTCCGGTTTTTTTTTGTTTCTTTGAAGAGAAAATGAAAACACAAAAGAAAACGTGTACTTTACATTTATGGGACTCACGGTGGCTTGCTTCTTTTTACTGCTCTGTTTTGCTTGCATCTCACGAAGCTCATTTCGAGCATTACTTGTTTCGTGTTCTGTTGGTGGATGACCAGGAAGAGGTGGTGGTGGTGAAGAACCTGAGAAAACATCGTTAAATAAAAATTACAAACACGTGCACCAAATCAAGTCTCATTTGTTGAATATTGAATCTTAGATTAAAAAAAAAATAGAGGGGAAAATTCTTTTTAAATCTGGAGATATATAATTTCTTTATTAAATTTGATATGAAAATAGACTCGAGGTCAAAAATAATCCTCTTAAGTATTTGAAGACTTATACTTTAAGGTTTCTTGAAATTATTTTTGCATAAATGAATATTGAAAAGAAAAATAGTTACCTAATGATCGGAACATTTGATCCATTTCATCAAGGAGACTGGGTCCAAAATCAAAGCTCAAGGGTTTATCAAATCTCAAGGGACTGTCTTGATTTTCCTCATCACTTATTTCATGATATTCATGATCGGCGCTAACTGTCTCTGTATTGCCAGCAACAGTTGCTGTTTGTTTCGTGGCATTTCCAATTGTTCCCAAATGTGAAATATCAGAACTTGTATCGGACCATAAACTTTCTGAAAAAATATTTTTATAAATAGAAAATTATTAAAAAAAAAAAAAACAAAATAATTATCAATGTTTGCTCACCGTGTTTACTTTGGTTATCAAGCTGTGAATGATGAATTCTATTATCCCTATTAGGCTCTCTATTCGAATCGATACTTCTTCCATCTTGATTTAAAATTTGACTAGAATTATCCGTCGCATCCTCTTGTGGCTTATATGGTGTGACAACTTGCCTTGGTAAATGTGGATATTTTCCACCCAAAAAACTGATATCACCAAAATAAGCACCATCCAATCCAACGTGACCCGTGTGCTTTAAATCGCCCTGCGGCGATGATATCATATCGGTTCTTATTTTTCGTCTTTGCGATGAAAAGGCATTTTTTCCATCACCTCGCGTAAATTCACCAGGTTTATTACTCGGTAAATTTGAACCAAGATACGCTATCGTATGCGCTGGATTAAAAAATCCAGTTTTACCATTATTCAACACACCCTTCCATAAAGTATTACTGCTACCTTTATCCAAAACTGAAATAATATCACCCTGTCGATATGAAAGTTGTCCAATTTCTGAACTATCTTGTACGGCTTGCACTTGCTCTGGTTTCAAATCAGGCAAAAGATTAATCAATTCGGAAAATTTTGGTCGTTTCATTGGCTCATGTTGCCAGCATTGTTGCATTAATGTGAAATAATCCTTGGGACAACAATCGGGTTGTTCTAATCTTTGAAAATTTGGCTCGTCAATAGCCTCGAGAATTTGATGACCAGTGAGCGCTGGCCATGGTTGAAAACCATAACTAAACATTTCCCAAAGTGTTACACCATAAGCCCAAACATCACTTGCCGATGTAAATTTTAAATATGTTATACATTCCGGTGCACACCATGCAATTGGTAATTTGAGATTAACATTAAAATTTGTTTGATAATAATCTTTACCAACACCAAGTGCACGCGATAAACCAAAATCAGATATTTTAACTTTATTTTTTGAAAATACGAGAATATTTCTTGCCGCTAAATCACGATGTATAAGTCGTTTAGCTTCTAAATATTGCATTCCATCGGCAATTTGTACGGAAAAATCGCAAAGCGATAAAACAGGAAAACTTGCACGTAAACTTGGTTCCTTTAAACATTCTAAAAGTGATCTTAATGGCGCTAATTCGGTAACTAGCATTAATGAATTTGTATCGAGAACAACACCATATAATCTGACAATATGTTCATGATCAATTGAATGCATAATTGCTGCTTCTTTTAAAAATTCAATTGGATTATTTTGCATTCTTTCTCTTGATAGGCACTTAATAGCGACTTGTATTCTTTCACCGTCATTTGTCCAAACACCCTGTTGTACAACACCAAATTCTCCCATACCCAATTCTTTATTAACAATTATTGCATCAGCAGGAATCATATGCTTATTTGGAACACGAACTGGTGGACGATCTTGTCTTTCTTCCGGTAACATGCCAAGTGATCCTGGTATTTGTTCCTCACGTTTTGGTAAAAGCATTTTTTTAAATTTTGATAAATAATTTTGTGGAAAATGCTTTTGAAAATATTTTTTCAATCGACGCATTTCTGGTTTACTCATTCCAATGGCATTTAAATCATCTTCCGTTACGTATTTAAGTTGTGCTGTATTTTGCACTTTTAGATCACCTTAAAAATAATTATTTTTTAATTATTTAAAATATTTAAGATATAAAAAAAAATATAAAAAAATATAAATAAAATATATAAAATATATTATAAATTATAAATTACATATTAATTAATATATAATAATATAATTAATAATAATTAATAATAAATAATAATAATTAATAATTAATTAATATAATTAATATATAATATATATTATATTAATTTTATAAGCCTTAATTATATATTATATTATAAATTATATTATATTATATAAAATATAAATATTTAAAATATTTATTTTTTAAAAATAATTATTTTTTATTTATTTTTTTTATAAAAATTAAAAAAAAAGAAACTTACCCCGAATCCCTGGATAATACTGTTGAAGTTCAGCTTCCATGAGAAACTCATAGAGACCAGGACCAGAATTACGCGACATCCCTCCTTGTGTATCTATAATCAAATCAAATCTAATTTTCATTTGAAAAAATGAGAAATTTTTACAGAGAATCGAAAGTTCTGCATAATTGTCTTGTGCAAATTCAACCTACTTTAAATTCGAAAGTCTTTGATACAGGAAATAAAATTCTTTTCTATTTTCTTTTGTGATTATCAGTATTTATTTACAATTCGAAAGTTTGTTTTTTAAATAGCTACGAAGATAATAGATTTCCCGATAAGGAAAAAAAATTGATCATAAAAGAAACAGTCAATGAACTGATAAAAAATTCTCAAATATAATTTCCCCAAATTAGAAAAAAGATATAGGGATAAAAGCGAATAAGAACGGGGTTATTTAGGTACATAAACAGTTTTAAAATCATGACTAAACAAATTGGAATGTTGTTCGATGAACCCCATTGATATAGTACGCCCGCACTTAGAGAAAAAACAAACAAAAGATGAAACCTTTTTCTATTCCCGTATGACATCCATAAGAAACTAGCATCCTAATATTCGTAAAGACGAATTTTAACCAAGACACGCCCCGCGACGGCGCCCTTAAATAGAAAATGATTTATAAATATCTTCGGGCACCGGTTTTTACGATTTTCCCACTTACCCATTCTCTTCTTGGTATGATGATGAGAAATGTGCCAAAAATTCCCTTTGACAAGAGACGCCTGCGTCCTTTAATAATTCACAATATCCAGATTCGTGAAAATGTCAAAAAAAAAAATCACTCAATTTTACTTCATTTCTATTCACATTTTTTCATTGTTTTTTTTCACCCACATTTACTTTGCGGTCACTGAACCGCAATTTATACATCTAATGCAAAAGACTTTACTTCTACTATTCTTGCACAGCCAAGCTCAAGCTGGAATGCGAAATTTGTAATCTCTGATTCTGCGTGAATTTTCTCCTTCACACAAACAGTATTTTAATACTTTAATACTCTTCTTGTATGTACACTTTTGCAAAACGTTTCAGAGGTTATACACGTTTAATGCACTCACACAATCTTGCATCCGGAAGTGTCATGTCACTGACGGCTATATTCAGATTGCAAATCTGACAGTTCTCTATTAGCGGGTAAATTTGAATTAAACATTCAAAAATTAATTTTATTTAAATTTAAAATTTATTTTATTATTTGAAAAATAAATTAATATTAATAGAATTTTTTTTAAATTATGGTGGTGTAAATTTTGAGTTACCATGATGAAATTATAAAGAAGATTTTAATTTTGAGGTTAAAGAGATTAGTTGGTAATCCTGGTTTTGCAAATGGATGTAACTTCAGTTCACAGCTGGTTTTAATAAAAAATAATTTACTTCTGCTAGCAAGTGAATTTTAATAAATATTTAAGTAATGCTGGATATTATTTAGTTTTATTTAGCATATATTTAGCATATATTTAGTTAATATTTGTTTAGAAATAATGGCGTCGGTTTTACGAAATGGTATTTCTAAACTTCGTAACGGTACCGTAGGATTATGTAAGGTTAGCACTCATTTTTTCCTGTTTTTGACACAATTTTTATTTTGGAGTATATTTATATATTAAATATTTATTACTTTAGAAGAGTATAAATATGTTTTTTTGAAAATTAAGATATTACATTTTTGTAGAGGTTAAGTTAACTGTCATTAAAATAGAATTAAATTTTCTGTATATTATTTTTTCTAGAGATTAAGTTAATTTTAATTAACACTTTCAGTTATCGTCTACGAACAATGTACCATTTATTCAAGTCGCCTGCATTAGTACACGAGAAGTACGAAAATATCGAGATCCACGTCCACCGCCTTTTCCATATGAAAAAAAAATATTTGGCCCTTGGGATCAACTTTTTGATAATACAATACATCGATTCGATGATAATTCAAAATTAATTGTTGTTGAAGGTCCACCTGCTTTGGGAAAAGGTGAACTATGTAAACAATTAGCCAATGAGCTGGAAATGTTATATGTTCCTCAAGCAAGTTTAAATGATTATTACGTTAAATATTATGATTTCGATTTGAAAACACTAGACGATAAACTTCCTGAAGTTTGTAAAAGTTGTGATTTACCAACATTTTTTAAAAATCCAACAATCATGAATGGCGCAAAAGTGCAATTTCTTTTTTATCAATTAAAATTTTTTAAAACATTAAACATCTTAACTCACATATTGTCTACGGGACAGGGAGTTATTACAGAAGGAAGTGTTTGGTCCGATAAAGTTTTTGCAAATGTTATGAACATTCATGGATATTTATCAGATGAATCTATGAAAATATATAATACTACGATTGATCGTTCACTTTTTGAATTAATGAGACCTCACTTATGTATTTACTTGGATGCACCTGTCAGTGTTGTTCAGGTAAATTAAACAAAAAGTTATTAATTTATAAAAATAGTTTTGTCAATGTTTTTTTTTTCGTTATTTCAGGAGAAAATCAAGAAACGAAATAATCCAGCTGAAGTTAATTCAAAAGTATTAAACGAAAAATTCTTATCTGATCTTGAATATCAATATAAATTTAATTTTTTGAAAAGTTTGAGTGAACATTCACATATATTAATTTACGATTATTCAAATGGTGGAGATTTTGAAGTAATTATCGAAGATATTGAAACATTAAATTTTGATGTTGTGAAAAATGCTAAAAGATTTGAAGATTGGGATTTAAGAACATCTGAACATTGGATATCGAAAAGAAAATGGTACTCTGAATGTGAACATATATTGATTGATTATGCTACACCAGAAGATGCGGCACCGGAATGTAGAGTACCTGGTAATGAAGCTTTACTTGAGCATGAAGTAAAGAAAGAAGTAAGTAATAAATTATCTTACATTTTTTTTTTAAGTTAAAAATTGTTTTGAATTTTATAACTTAATTAATTTATTTCTAGTTTGGTCCACGACAAATTTGGGATACGTTGTATCGGCCTTTTGATCGTAATAGACGGGAAAAAAAACTGTTACGTTAAAATATTTCAAAAAATTTTTTCTAGCTCATCATGTAATTAGGTCTGTATTTAAAAAAAAAATCTAAATTAAAACAACAGTCTAATATTAAACATTTTTTTTTTTCATATATCTCATTGTTAAAATAAATTTTAAAAATAAAAATTCAATTTTTAATTATTTAATTATTTAATTTAAAGAATGAAAATTCGGGATTTAAAAGAAAAGACAATATTTGCAACACTTAAAAATAGATTGTTGTATTTAAATTATTCTCGAAGCAGAATTAACATCTGTTTCAACTTTATAGTTATAAAGATTTTTTTTTTTGTAGGGAATTTTATATTGTACATATATTATAATACATATATATCTTCAAATACATTTACTTAAATTTCCGACGTTATAACGAGACTCAGTACACTCTTTTTTTTCGCGGTAAATATCTATTCTTCTTTTTTTCAATCTTTCTTAATTAAAACGTCAGCAGACACAAACACCAATAGAGTATGACACTTAACGTTTAACACGGTCATAATTTTTTTTGTCAGATAGTAAACAGATTTTTTTCGGACGTTATGGATTATTAAGATTTATTAATTTTTTTTTTTAAGTGTCGCCCTATTATTTGTGCGAAAAATTGCAACAATCCTTTCAAGGAGATTCTGTTAATAGTTGAAGTAGAAAAAACTTGTGAAATCAAAACAAACAGGAATGGAGAATTTAAAGAACATAGAGCCTGTAGAAAAACAAAAAGTTTAAAAATTAATTTTCTAATTGGATTTAACATGTTAGGAATGTTCTTTTTTGTTTGATATTAGGTCCGTTTCACTAATTCATAAAAATTAGATGATTTCCATTTTTGGAACTGGCAGTGAGTATCTCATTTTTACCTGAGAAATTAATATTGGAGAAAGCAAAGCTAAAATATCTATTTACAGAATAAGCGCTCATATTGATTTTCGTTTTTTTTTTGGCACTGCCAGACTTTCCATTTAGTTGTTCTGAAACCATTTTTGTTTTATTGCTTCTTTGGTTCAGTTTTAAGAACATGTTTCGCATTCACAGAAGCTTTAATTGCAGCTTAATCTTTGAATTAGATCAAAGACTTTTCTTTCCATTATTGACGATGTTTAATTTCATTTCGCTCTCCTTCATCTCAATTTTCATTACTTTCCTTATACATTGAGAGTGACACAATGTTAATTAAAATTATTATTACAATAAGAGAATTTTTCTAAGCTGTCAAACTGCAGCAGGAATTAGTTTTACGGGCTGTTTTATAAAAGGCTTTCGACTGAATGCTAAGGCCCTCTGATTTTGAAACTAAATCATCCAATTTTTCCCCTCTCTGCAAAACTGCCTCCAATGTACTATGCTGAAAATAAATGAAAACGATTAAGTAAAAAACAATTAAATAAAATTTAAAGTATTTAATATTAATAATCGTAATACCAGAATGATTTTCGTTTCATCTAAATCATTTTGCATTTTTGTCAGAGAATCGGCCTCCCTTGGATTTTGATATTTTGCCAAATAAACATTACTTTGTTGAAAATCAACTGCCGATTCATTTAATGTAGGCCACGTGCTCGGAGAATATCTTGTTGTAAATTCATCCAACACTTTTGTAATTAAAGTGTGAGATACTCGATTTGGATATTCATGATCTGATATTAAAACTCCCGCTAAACTGTCTCCTCGTACATAAACATGACACATGTATTCTGAAAACAATTTAAAAAAAAAAAAATTAGAAAAACATTTAAAACATAAAAAAGATTATTTCAAAATATCGAAATAATTTATTGAGAGCAATAAACTTGTCTTAAGATTATTATTTGTTTTTTTGAATTATCTTAAAAAATTCTTGAGATGAAGATAAAATCTTTTGATAAGATTTATAACTTTTTATATATTGGAGAATATTTATGACTTTGAGAGTTTTTGATGGAATCAGATGAAAAAGTATCGATTTTACCTCCTTCTTTTACGCTCTGCCTTGCAGCAACTTGCGTTCTTTCTGTTATGGTTTTACTGACAAATGCCATGAACTCTTTGACGCTGCTTCTTTGAAAATATGAAAAAGAGTCAACATCGTAGGCACATTTTAGGGCAGTCGCCGATGTTTGTCCCTTATAAAGGATCGTTAAAGCATAAAGTCTAACCATTTTTGACTGAAAGTAAACAAAACAAGTATTAATTTTCCATTATTATGAAAAGAACATCACTTTTTTAATATTTATGTTTTTTATAATTTTAAAATAAATTTTTCTCGTAAACTTTCTTTATATTATTTAAATTGTATATTTATCAAAAAAAAATCAGTTTGCAATATTAGAATATTGATTAAATTAAAAAAATTGCAATATTTTTATAAAAGTAAACGGAAAATAAGTCACCAGAGCACTAAAGAGGTTAAGTTTCGAAAAATTATAATCTGATTTTAATTTTTAGAAAATGGGGAAAAAACTATGTTTAAAAGATTTAAAAATGCAACAGGGTATTAAAAAAAAAAACTTTTTGGCATTCTGGACACGTACACATGCACAAGAAAGCAAGCTGTCAAAACATACCTTTTAAGCAACAAACAATATGTTTAAGCTCAAGTGACGTAAAAAATTCCACTAAACTATAATTTGGAATTTCCGAGCTAATTAGATATTTAACCTTAATTAGGTTCCAACTTCAGTAAATAATGATTTTCACTCTAAATTCTTAACACATCTCTCTTTGCTTATGAAAAAGATCATTTGCAAATTACGAGTTACTGTTACTGTATTTTTAAAGTTGCAAAGTTGGTATTTTTTTTTTTTTTTTTTACTAGAAAATGTTGCGCACACTGAAAGTTATCGATTAATCGAATTTTAAAATTCAAATACTTATTTTTAATAAATATTTCTATATATATTATAAAGATTTCTAACATTTAACTAAAATATAATTAAATAAATCGTTTTTGGCAATAAATAATATTAAAAAAAATATTTAAAACTTACCTGTAGTTTTTACATGCATCGCGCCATTTTATCGAAAAAAATTATCCATCTTTAATGCATTTCTGTCGATATGGTTGCTGTTCTACAGGAACTGTTCCATAATATTGATTTTTTAAATCATTTTTATTTATTTATTTTATCAAATATATATATATATTTAATTAATTATTTACAATTTAATGTTAATTCATATAAAATAAAAAGTAACTTAAAACAATTTAGACTTTTTAAAAAAAATTCGCTTTATTTTTTCCACTAAAACGAGTTCAAAAACATTATTTATAGTAAATTATTAAAGAAAAAAATTAATATTTGTGTTTACATAAAAATATGTACAAAGAATGAGAAAAAAAAATGTTTTATCTATCCACTGTGCTCTTTTACATATTCATTAGCCATATCTCGAACATTTTGAACAGATTTTTCATTTCCATATTGTTCTTCAAAATTAATGTATTTTTTAAATAAAACTTTCATCTTTCTCGCTGGAAGTACTTGAGTCGTGACAGATCTCTCAAGAATTCTTCTTGCTATTTCAATATCACCTGATTTAATCAAAGAATCCACATAAGATGACCATACATCAATTCGTTTTGGATATGAATTCAAAATTTGTTCAAATAAAGTTTGTGATCTCTCTTTATCACCGTGATTATTCTCCAAGTGTGCGAATCTTACAATTAAATTCACATCTGTAACAGAAAAGAAGGGTATTTTTTTATACATTTGAAATTAGACAAAAATTATTTAATTTTAATTAAAAAAAGAAATTAATGTAATACTAACGTTCGGGTGCAGGTAGAGATTGAATGGCCCTTTGCATGATGTGTCGTGATTTTTCTTTTAATCCAACTTTTAGTAAAACAGCTCCGCATTTGATCCACATTTCCGGTTGATCTTTGAATTTTTTCACAATCATATTAACAGTTTTTTCCATTTCAATTTGTTTACCAGCCTCAGAATAGGCAGTGAGCATGTGGGAATAAATTTTTGCCGCATCATTCACACGAACAGCTTCCTGAAGAACTTCGTTCAATGATTCTGTATTTCCAAATTTAATTTCAAGATTTAACCATGCTTGCCAGACATTTAGCCTCTCATCTTCTTCGCGGAAATTTATTGTTTTAACAGCACGTTTTGCAACAGAACGCGCTTTATCGACTTCAGTTGCTTGTAAATGATACGCCATATATTGTAACCAAATAAGTGAACTGTCAGGACTACCGAGAACTAATCTATCAAATTGATCAACAGATTTTGGCATATGATTGGAAGCTGCCAATGCTTCTTCACGTTCACGAATTTCTCTCTCTTTTTGTCGTTCCTGTTCTCGACGCTCGTTAGCGCTGAGTTTTTTCTTCTTTTTCGGTTGCTCTTCCTCTTCTTCACTTTCACTGTCACTCGATGATTCTTCTTTTCGATATACAGAACTCGGCATTTTATCCCAATAAAATCCACACTCAGGAATTGTCAATTCGGTAGCGTTTTCGTCAATTTCCATTTCTTCGTTTAATAAAACTTCTTCTTCTTCTTCTTCTTTTTTTTCTTCTTCCTTTTTAGATTTCTTTTTAGCTTTTTTGGAAACTGGTTCACTTTCTACTTCTTCTATAGATTTTTTTCTTTTTATTTTCATTGAATTCTTATTTTCGATTTCTTCGTCTTCTTCTTTTATTTCGATATTTTGACTTCGTTTCGAAACTTTATTAATCGAGAGTAACTTTTTACAAAGATGATTAGCCATTGGCGTTTTCTTCGATTCAAACATTGACTTTGGTAAACAAATATTCAACGAATTACATTCAATTTCATTAAGTACAACAAAACATCGTACCTTTTGACCAATATTGTATGTCGATAAATCAGGATTCAAATCATTGAGATGTAATCTCGCGGGCATAACAACAAATCCACCATTATATTGTCCCTTGAGAAGTACAAGAATAAACCAATTTGTTATCAAAACAATAGTACCACGTAATTTTGTTTCCAATGGTAATTTTTGAAATTTCGATTGTTTTCCACTAATCGACGAGACAAGTTGTGGCAATAATGTAACTTCCAATAATTCATAGATAAAATTCACCCAAAGTACAACGCCTTTAACTTTATCACCAACACGAACATCACCACGATAATGATCCTTACGAACAGTTGCCTTTAAATTGTCCTTTAATTTTAAAATTAAACCATGTTCAGTTATTGTCTCGACAATTCCATCAATTTTTTGTCCCAATTCAATTGACGATATTGGACGATTTTTAAAATAATCCTTTTCCGATAATTCCTTCATTTTTATTAAATAAATACCCAATGTATCGATTGCCGACATTGATTCCGTTGGTTTTTTCCATAAATCCGTTAAACGTGTCGATACAGTCACTTTTTTACCATCATTATCAATTGAAAGAATTTTACTTAATAAAATTTGATTTGTACGTATTAAATCTTCATTGTCGTGAAAATTTTTCTTCACTTGTGCATTGCCAAGAAAATCATTAATTGGCAATATAACACGACAAATATTATCAGTGAAATTTTTCACCGAACATAAAATAGTTGAATTGATTTTTAAATTTTTTAATGTTACATCAGCTTGTGGAACAAATGATACACTCAATAATAAATTGGGATTTGTTGAGAATACCAAAGCCGTTATTTCATCACCGGGAATTGTTTTCGATGCTATTAAACTAGCTAATTCGGGACACGGTGCAATATGTCCAGCGGGAATAAAACCCATTGTTTCTAAATTATTTTTATTGATTTTCAATTGTATTCCCTCTGTTGATGAATTGAGAACAATACCATTGACTGTTTCACCAATTTTAAAGGTAATTTTTTTCTTTTTTTCCTTAATAATTTTTAATGTTAATTTATTGCGTGCGATATCAACAGCTTTAATCATCACAGTTACTACTTCACCGATAAAATGATTCCATTTTTGTTTTATTAATTGTGGATCAAGAAAAGAAAGTGGAACCCATCCGGCAAGATCACCGTAAAATTTCACTAGAATTCCCTTATCGGTAATTTGACGAATTGTCCCATGATGTTGTGATGAAACATGAGCGTGGTGAATATTATCCAAAATTGGCAAATTGCTATTGATAAGAAGAGGTTTTAAGGTGAATGTTAATTTTTTATTAATATTAGACAACACTTTAGCGCTCACTTTATCATTGACTTTTAATTTTGATGAGCATTTTTCATTATCAGAACTATGATAAGGTGGAATTGTTCCCAATATTTTGCCAGTGGAAACTTTAATAAAACCAGTTTCACGATTTATTTCATTGACAACAACTTCAATTATTTCGCCATGAATGAAATTTTCTATTGATAAATGTGTGGCTTCTAAAATTTTTTTCTCTGTCGAACAAATGTAAATACGATCCATAATATCGTAGGTGAGTATTCGACATTTGTGATCCGATTCTGGAGTGAAAATTTCTTTTACTTTATTTGAATTCACATGAGTTCTTTTGTATGGTATTAAACCTTTGAGATCTTTTCCTAATTTCACGATAATTCCACTTGATTCCAAATATGAAACACGAGCATTGACAATATCACCTTTATTGATTTGTGATTTTTCCGGAATTTGTTTTAATAATGTAAAATATGCAAATTTCACCGTTGGAATAATATACAATAATGTTCCATCAACCTCTAATCCTGGTGTATATTGAGAAAGAATTTTTGGTATGTGAATTTGATTAATATAACCAATTTTGTCACCATTATAGGAAATTTGTAATCCATTGGAAAGAATTTTTTTTATTGTCAAAGTCAATTGCATTCCTGGCATTAAACTATTGAGTGATTTCACATTTTCCACAATTGTTTCTAAATGATTGGTTTTTGTTGATAGTGTTATTATTGATGCGTTATCGTCATTTTTCATATTTTTCACGGCGCACATTATTTGTTTTCCTGGAACTGGAAAGAAAAAATATTAAAAATAAATTTTCCATTACAAATTATTTAAATATAATACTCACAGTAAATGGAATTATGATCATCTTCAATGTCCTTTTTTGATAAAAATCCACGAACATTTGGAATTCCAGTTTCGAGAACATAGCCATGATCTTCAACACTTGCGATTGAGCAAATAATTTTCGATTTATTGGTTATTGAATTGGAATTTAAATTTTGATTCAATAAATTTGGTTCCAATGATAATGAGACACGCCAATTGTCTTCGCCGAGTGCTTTAATGTAAGTGACAACATTATCACCTGGTTTAAATAATTCAGCTAGAGTTCTAAATTCTGTTATAGAATCGCCTTCGGAATTTACAACACTTTGCAATAGATTTGTATATGATTCACTGATATCGGTAACTTTTACACGTCCAGTTAATCGTCCTGGTAAAGATATAATTAAATCATAATCTCTTATCATGTGTACTCTTCCTAATATCACCATTCCCTCACATAAATTTGAAAATGTTAACGATTGTGCCGTTGACGCAACAAGTGTATCTTCCTCATGACTTTTCTTTGTATTTTTTGTTGTTTTATTTTTTCTCACTTTTATGGGATTATTCTTCTCGAATAATAGCTGAAAAATTAGAATAAATTGAAGTAAATAACTAATTTATTTATTAATTAGCAATTTTTCAAAAAAAATTTTAAAAAGAAAACAATACTTACAGATTTTGATGAGGGTGCAATTTTGGGCTTCTTCCCACCACGGGGAAAATCTTTTTGAGTCATCTGTAATTGAAAATTAATCTTGAAATTATAATTTAGAATTAAAAACGGATAACTATTTAAATAATTATCAAAAAAAAAAAAAGTTTACAGTATTGCCAAATTTATACGGAAAAAATGTTGGTGCGACGTTCACACGTTGCCTCCAACACTTGGTAGAAACGTAATCGTCTTGGGACAGCAGGCCCACTATTATTTTAGTGCAAAATACCTCTCGGAATTAGTATTTTAATTGTACCACGACAGTAAGTACAAGATTTGTGCTCAGGCACCAAAATTTTTTCCATAATAAAAAGTTAGGTTATCCGGTAATTTATAAAAAGGTTTTAAATGGGTTTTAAAAACTTTATATATTCAATTACTTTCTTTTTCTTTTCGTAAATAAAATACTGCATTCATTAAAATTATAATTACATTATAATTGTATACTTTACAATGTATTTTAAGTATATAATTTACAATTTAAAAAAAATTTATCCATGCAAGTTGAATATGTTTTTTTTTGTAAACGTCAAACGATAATTCCCTTTAACAATAAACAAATAACAATATTTACCTTGAAAAATTAAAACTAATGTTTTTAATACAAAATTAAACTTAATTGAAATCCTTTGAGAATTAATTAAACATTCCTAAATAAATATTTGAATAAATTCACGTGCCACTATCACACACGTTTTTTAAGTAAGGTTATGTTTGTTACTCATATTGCGCATGTGCAGTAACTTTAGTGACGAAAAGTGCGCGAAAATTTAATTGTAATAATTATGAATAGATCTTTTTTTTTTACTCCAAAAATAGGGATTAAAATAAATAAATTTATTTATAACAGAATTTTTTCCTATTAGAGTAAATATAATAACATTTTTAATTTAAATTATGTATGCGTCTAAATTATTTTAAAAAAACAATTATTTTTTCCAATAAATATTAAAAAAAAAGCTTGCAATTTTTCAAATTGTTGATAAATTTAGTTAAAATATCAATAATGAAATTTTTAATATTATTTTAATTAATCGATTAAAATACTTTTTATTTCAGTATTTAATTTATGGTCAATGATTCGCACCTTCACTTTTTTCATCTGAATATTTTAATTCAAATCTACAACTTCAACGCTTCATTGAAAAGAGCAAGGTAATATATATATTAAAGTTTCAAGGTATAGACGCGAAAATAAATTTTAATTTCAAAAAAAAAAAAAATAATAATTTAATAATTAATTATTAAAAAAATTATTATTAAATAGAAAATATTTCAAAATTTTCTCCTATTTTTTTTTATAAACAAATTATTTAAATAAATATTATTTATTACTATAGATTACATGGAGAAAATAAAATTAAATGTAATTGAAAAAAAAAAATTTACGATGCTTTTTTTATAAATAATTTTATTTAAGCATAAAAAAATTTAAGATCCTTGAAACTACAAACATCACTTGAATGAAAGCGAATGTCTAAGGTTGAATATAAAAAGCATGCTTAGGTCTCCTTTTCCTCGAGTTGATTAGTACATTCGCGACTGTAAAGAGTTTAGAGCAAGATGAAATTTTTTTTTATTTGCATCTTTACATTTATTTTTCCTTTATTTGTATCCTCTGAGTAAGTAATAAACAAAAATTTAATTTTTACAATAATATATTGATAAAATAATAATAATTTAAATAAATTAAATTTATTTATTTAAAGACTTTTTTTATTTATCAAAAATTAATAAATAAATAAATAATAATAACAATAATAATTTTAAAATAATAATAATAATAATAAAAATAATAATAATAATAAAAATACTAATAATAATAATAATAATAATACAAAATTAATACAGAAATAATAAATTTAAACGTAATTAGAAATAAAGTTGAAACAAATATTTAAAACTGTTTATAATGTAATTTCGCTTCATTTGCATACAAAATATATTTTATTTTATTTTTTATCTTTATTTAACTTTTATCTTTTCGTTGCAATATACTTCGTGGTATTCTTTAACTCGTTTCTAAACTTCAATTGAAAATAAATGTTTAAAAATTCTTTATTAAAATATTAAAATTCCAAGAAAAGAATTTTTATGTGATAAAAATCATTGAAATATTTTTTTTTTTTTTTTTTTTTAGAGAAAGTATATCAGTTTTTTACAACAAAAAAAATTTACCAATGCCAGTCATAAAAATAGTCTAATTATTACTATTATTATTCAAAGTATAATGAGGCAATTCTAATTACCGTTAAATGTTCTTATATGAATTGTATGCACAGATTTTTATTAGTGATATTGCTTATATAATAATTATAATGAAAATTGTTTCTGAATTTAATAATCCAAGTGAAAATGAATTATTTACTGAATTTAAAAAATTAAATATCACCGTAAAAATGAATTATTAATTTTACTATTTTAAATGTAATTATGAATTATCAATTTTTCAGTATGACTTTGACTGTTAATCGAGTTGTCGAGGCCAAAGGATTAACAGAGGGACCACATTGGGATCATCGTACACAAAAACTTTTTTTCGTCGATATTTGGGGTAACAAAATTTGTCGATTTGATCCAGCTACATCAAAAGTTACCTGTGCTTATATAGGTAATTATTATCTGGTTTATTATTATTTATTTTTATTTATTCTAATTTTTTTAAATTTTTTATTATTTTTTTTAATTTTCATTATTATTTATTATTACGTATTATTTATTATAATTTATTATTTTTCATTATTTTTTGTAATTTATTTGTAATTATTTTTATTTCTGCTATATAGAATAAAATTGAAAATTAATTAGAAAGATAAATTAAAATAGAAATTATTAATTTTCAGCAAATGGACCAGTTGGTGTAGCAATTCCCATTGATGATGGAGCAAATCATTTTGTCGCCGGTTCAGGTGTCGATGTTGTTTTAGTTACATGGGATGGTGAAACTAATTCTACAAATCCTCCTATTAGAAAATTAAAAAGTGTTAATAAATTTAATGAAGGCACTAGATTTAATGATGGCAAAGCGGATTCATTTGGCAGATTTTGGGCAGGTAATTACAATCGATTTTCTCTAATTATTAACATATTTTTAAAATTATACTATTTCTAATTATCTTATTGGAAAGATATTTGAATTATTATTATTTTATAAATTTTATTTATAAAAATATTATTTAATTATTAATTTCATTTATTTATAAAATTATTATTTTCATTTATTTATAATTCCAATATTTTTCATAAAACATAATTCAAAACCATTTAGATATTTTAATGCTTCGAGTCAATTGACCTCAGTAAATTGATATCTCAATGTCTATTATATAGAAGATATTCAACTTCATTTGTTGTTCAATTTAACATTGATAATAAAAGAATAGAACGATAAATCTATTTTAATGTTTTTTATATTGAATTTTTTGTTTTAGTTTTTATTTTTTTTTTTTTTGAGATAGTAAAAATGTATTTTTGAAAATTGTGCTAATTAAAATTTCATATATATTCTCAGGTACAATGTCTGAAATAAAAGGAGATTTTATGCCTAATGGAGGAGAATTTTATTGTATGGATAAAAATTTAACATTAACGACACAAATTACACCAGTTTCAATTAGTAATGGTTTGGCGTGGAATTTAGATGATGATACATTTTATTACATAGATTCACCGACAAAACAAATTGTTTCCTACGATTTTGATCCACAAAAAGGATCCATTGGTAACTGATAATTGTATATTAAATTTTGTTTTGTTTTCAATATCTATTAACTTTTTTTGTTTTAGCCAACAGAAAAGTAGTTTTCGACTTGACGAAAAATAATTTACCCGGTGTTCCTGATGGAATGACAATTGACTCGAAAGATAATCTTTGGATTGCATTATTTGGTGGTTCTCAGGTATTGTAATTTTAATTGATTTTGAATTTTGTTTGAATTACAAAATATTTACAATATTTCAGGTGATTCAAGTTAATCCAAAAACTGGAAAATTACTTCAATCGATACCAATTCCAGCGAAAAGAGTGACGAGTGTCACTTTTGGAGGGCCAATGTTGGATATTTTATACGTTACGACTGCAGGAAACGGTTTTGCAAATCCTGCAGAAAAAACACCTGAGGATGATATGCAAGGTGGATCAATTTTCGAAATCAAAGGAACTGGCGCTCGAGGCGTTTTATCGAACAGTTTTAAAATGAGTGACGATTAAAGTAAAAATTTTAATTTCCATTGCAATAATTTAATTATTATTTTAAATTAATGAATATAATTCAATATTAAATAATTAGAAACGGTATTTCAAAAAAAAGACAAAATTAAAAAAACAATCCTTTTATTTACACAATAAGCATTTTTATAACAATATATATTATTTTTAAACATAGTTAACAATACACGATAAATTTAAATAATATCTTGCGAAAATATATTTAAGAGGCATTTAAATATTTTTCCCCGAGAGACAAAAATACATTATTATTATTATTATTTGAGTGATATGTATTTTCTCGTGTCAGTCTATAAAGCTTGGGCAAAAAAAAGAAACAATTTTTTCGAAAATTTAAATTTCACAAGGATACGTGATAAGCCTCAATGTTTGGTCTCATCTCTTGAAATTCTTTTGGCCAAAAAATACAACGATAACATAGAGATGCAATAAGTGATCCAACGAGTGGACCAAACCAAAATATCCAATGATTTGACCAATGATTATTCCAAAGTGCTGGCGCTAATGATCTCGCTGGATTCATACTGCATCCTGTATATGGACCAACGGCCATACAAATTACTGCGACCGCTAAACCAAATTTAATTGCAACTGAATCACCATATTTTGTTTGTCTCGCATCCCAAACACCGCATGTCATCAACATTAAAATTCCAGTTGCAATCACTTCAATTACAAATCCTTGAAACATTGAAATATTATTGTGTAAATCAGTTACACAAAATTCAGAGCTTGACGTTTCATTTCCATTATGTAAAAGCATTTCCGGTGTAACTGCCTGATAACATTTTGAAAATTCATTAAAATTATTTTTAAAATTTAGCAAATCGAAAAAATAAAATGAATAAAAAAGTAGAATTTTCTTATTTGAACAATAATTAATTAAAACTGAAATACTGATTAATTTTAAATTACGGAAATTAAAATAATAAAAAATAGAAATTAGAAAGTTCGGCGAAATAAAAATAACATTTGTCAATAAATTTTATAAAAGAAAAAATTCTGTAAAATAATTATAAATCTCGAGGTTGAATTAATATTTTATTAATATTAATAACACTAGGAAAAGAATAAATATACCTTTAATAAACCAAAACCAAGAATAGCACCAGTGAGTTGAGCAACAATATAAAGTATTGCAATTGGCAAAGATTTTTTACCAAGGACAACAGAGCCCAATGTAATTGCTGGGTTTATGTGAGCAGCACTGATATGTCCAATACTCTGAAAAATTATATAAAAAAATAAAATTTTGCTTATTTCGAAATCGGGAAATAATAAATAATGTGAAATCACGTAAGTTTTTTTTTTTATTAATTATATATAATAAAAAAACAATTATTTTTCATAGAAATAGAATTTTTTTATTGAAGTAAATATAATAATATAATAATACAATAAATTTGAAAATACCTGTATTATGAGCATAACAGCCAATCCAAAAGTAAAAGAAATTTGTAATGGTGATGGTCGATGTCCAAGACTTCCAACACAACCCATACATCCCAAAAATACTAAAATTCCGGTTCCAATAAATTCGGCGAAACACATTTTGAATATTTCCGATAATCTAACATCTTCCTTCAAATATTTCTTGATCCCTTTAATTTAATAATCAATTAATTATTAGTTCAATATTATTAATTTATTTTTAAGAATTTCTTTTCGGTATTAAAATTACCGACCGTTATGCAACCTGCTATACAAATGTGTATGAGCGACTACATATAGTAATAAAAAATATGTATAGTAAAAAAAAATATTTTTCTAAAAGAATTTATTATAATTAAAAATTAATATTAAGGGAAAAAATCCACCATTCTTTTAATTTATAATTTAAGTAAAATTTATATTATTTCAAAAAAAGAAAGATCTATAATTGTTTCTACAATTATTATTAAATAATTACTATTTAACAAGTTCTATACGTATTCAATTAACTTATGCTAATTTTATTAGTTATTTTTTTTATTGCACCGAGATCATTCATTGTACGAGATGAACTTTTAGTTTTTAAATTCTCTTAGTTTACATTTTTATTGCATTTAAAAATAAAAAAACAAAAAAATTTGTGATGAAAATTATTTTAAGTGGTTTCATTTTTATGCGAAAAATATGGTCCACATGAATGGTATAATGGAGTTACTATTGTGCAACAGATAATAGAAAATGATGAGAGATGACATTGTGCGCTTATCCTTCGTAATCATTGTCGCTTTTAATAATAAACTTCATGACCCAATGCATTACATTTAAATTCTTTAATACGAATGAAAGTGATATATTGTCATTAAAAATAAATTAATTTACAAAGAAAAAGAATATAAATTAAATAATAGAGAAACTGCAAAAAATAATTAATGAAAAAAAATTGCAAAAGATTCGAAATAATTACAAAATAAATAATTAAGTAAATAAATAATAAAATACAGTTTTAAAAAAATATGTAATTATACTCACAAGATAATTTTAAATTCTTGTCTTCACAATGTATTACGTTGGAGGAAGAAAGGCCATTTTTTAAATTTGATGACAAATTTTCAGAATGATTTTGATAAGACATGATATAGTGAAATCAGTTTTTTTTTAAATATTAACAGTTTTACTTGTTATTTATTCCTCCTGAAATAAAAAATGTAAACAAATTAATTAATTATATGAATACTAATAAACAAATTTTTATTAATTTTTACAAAACAATACTTTTCTTAATTTCTGACATGTAGTTAATTTTTCTCATTTTTTTTTTCAAAGTAAAATTGTAAAAAAATGGAATTTTGTATTTTGATATGAAAAAAATGTGAAAAATGAAATTTCCATAATCATTCAAAGCACGGAAATTGATAAACCAATAATGAGATAAGACGCGCTCTCAAATTACGCACCTAATTTAAATTCACATTGAAATATTATTTTTATTTAATATAAATTTCCATTAATTTTATAATTTAAAATTGATTTAATTAGAAATTTTAAATTTCTGTAAATTAAATTAAATGTAAATAAATTACTTTAAACGTAAAAATATATATATATATTGCGATCAAATTAATCATACAATATAAAAAAGGAAAAAAAACTATTATTTCCTGACGAATGTTCAACCAATAAAAAATTACAAAGCCATTATTTTCAATTGCTTTGTTTGTTTTCCATTAATTTTGTTCGCCAAAAAAAGGTTTTTATTTTAAATTTCTATAAAACTTAATAAAAAATTTCTTTCTTTACTATTATTAATTATTATCAATGTTTTAAAATAAATAAAAATAAAATTTAATTTGTTGTAAATAAATCACAGTCTCATTACTTTAAAATACGGTGGGTTTTTTGTAATACCTTTAAAATAACACCGGCGATTTATTATTTTTATTTTTACTATTATACAAAATTTTTAGTATTTTTTATCTATACATTTTGCATTTAAAATATTCGTCTCTTAAATAGCACAATTATTTAAAATTAAATCACTTTTTAAAAAAAAAAAATTAATGATTTAATTCAAACATTGTTTTTATGAAACTTTTTTTTATTTAATTATTTTTGAGAAGCTCTACTATATAGATTAATGTCCCGTTTGATAGTTTGGAGAAGACTGAAACGTTTCTCAGTTCATCATCATATTTATGTATGTACCTCGTAATATGTTCGTGTATACTTTTTCTTTCAATCTCCCGTTATGTATTGAAGCACATTTCAAATATTTAAGAAACGTATGATCAAAAAGCTTTACAGTTGGAATTTTTCTAAAATTAAACAATTATTTTTTATTATTTTTATATTAATTTTACAAATTTTTTATTTTTGCTCTGTAAATGTAATAAATGTGCGTTAAATTTTTAGAAAAAAAGATTAATATTTTACAATCATCATGAATATTGATTATTATCAAATAGTTGAGCATTATGGAAATGACGTTAATAAAATTATATATTAAATTAAAGAGCATTTATATATATATATATATATATATATATATATATATATATATATATATCTTTATTGAATGTCAATGGATTCCTTTGACTCTGTAACAAAAGTGACATTTGTCAAAGAACACGTGCTACTGATGATTAACGTTATAATGAATTTCTTATGTCCAAGTGTGCAACATGCAGATAATTAATTCAACAAGAAAATAAATAAAGAGGTAAACAAATATATGGGTTAATTGATTTTATTAATATATAATTAAAAATTATGTACCAATATTAATTATTAATCAGTTTAGATAATATAATTTATTATTATTTTAATAAACTAATTGAATACGAATTTTAAAAGTAAATCATTAATTTAAAAAAAAAAATTGTCAATAAAGGAAAAAAATAGAAACGTTACAATTTCAAAGAGAAATAATTAATTCTTTCTATTGTCTTGGGATATTATTATGTCTCTATAAGAATACATATACTCACAAATGTAATTATACAATTTGTTTACTCCATGTAATATGTAAAATTCACGGAACATAATGTTTTCCTTTTCGATACATTATGCGCACTTATTTATTTTTCTATATTCTCTGAAAAATCTTATTAAAAAATCAATTAAAGTTTTTACATCCGACTATTTTAAGTGAAATTGTATTTTCTCTATGTCTATTATAGAATTATGTTGCTATAATCCTAACATACTTGTTCTGCTAGAGTTTCTAAAATGCGACTGTGTTTTCTCCCCCTCAGTGTAAAAAGTATATAGCACACTAAATGCTTTAAATAGATATACTTTTGTTAACGTTTTTGTTTTTTCAATATATTTAGAAACATTCGAAAACAAAGCGTTTAATTTTAATTGATCAATGAAAACAGATTGAATGGAAAAAAATATTTTTGAAATAATAATATTAATTAAATGATTGACATTTTTAATGATGCAATAATTTATGTCACTAAAACAGTAAAGCAACGAATTGTCAAATGAACAAATTTATTTTTAATGTAAATATTTTCCTTTTTTTTCTAATTGTAAAGGTAGCTATTTGATAATTAATAATCCTCATGATTTACAGGTGTGTTTATGTCACAAGAATCGTATATTTCCACAAAATACGTAATTTGTACCAACAATTTTGGTTTTATTTGAACATTGCATACATCTTGTATCTTATCATGATTCTATTATAGATAAAAAAAAAATTAAGAAAAAAAGGTAAAATTTCTATTCTTTGTTTCTTTCTGTAATTATTTCAAAAATTATTATTGACCAAAATGAGAGATCGGGAAAATTAATTTCACGGAAACCGCGAAGAAATTTTTTTTTAATTCTTATTAAAGTAATTGACCACAAAATTGAGAAAGTATATATATATATATACAATTAAAATTTATTTAGAAAATTTTTGTTTAGTTTTCAATTAAATTAATCATTTATTAATAATTGATGTTTTATAATGAAAATTTAAATTTATAAAAAAAAAATATTACAATTATTAGTCATTAAATTGACAGTGCGTTATATAAACATTTAGATAATCGCGAATTTTAGTTTTATTATTTACAAAGAATATTTTAGTCATATAGAAAAGATAAATAAAAAAAATGTTGGTTCATTGAACTTGTACAAGTTGTCTATATCCCTTTTTGTAATTACCAAGTTTTTAAAACCGGAATGACTTGGAAATTGCGTAAAAGAAGACAAAAAAAAAAAGTTGTATGATTACTGAGAGCTTTATTTCCGTCTTGATAAAAATTTTATTAGATGAGAGCAAAATTTAACTGATTAATAAGTAAATTTTTTTTTTACAAATTTTTTGGGGAAAATACTATAATAATATTTACTTTTTGTTCTGAATTAAATTATATTAGTAAAACTTACAAAATGAATTTCAATTCAAACATTAATTTGAATATTAATTATTGTTTGTAAACAAACATAAAGAACTGAAAAATTATTATTTTTAAAATGTAAATAGATATCCTAACCTTAAATTTCTTTTTTCTATGCTTTGCCAGCATATTTACCATTAATATACTTTCTCATTTAGATTCTTTTATATATAATTATCTTTCTTAATTGAATTAACTTGATATATATATACTTTACAGATGCAGATACTATTTTTGAGAAAAATAATTTATAAATAAACTTGTTTTGTTGTCCCTCAAGACAAGGTAATGATAAATCAGAAATCTTTGAAAAGGTTACCTCATCTACGTGAAAGTTGAAAAGTTTGCTACTTCACAGGGGTAATGTCCTTTATAATTAGAAGATTTTAAATAGAAAAAAATTACAATCACTGAGCTATTTACATAATACTTCAATCACTGTATTGAGGTCAAATTTCTATCATTTACAGTATTGATTATAAATAATATATTTAAAATATTTTAAATAGTAGATTTCTTCTTACCAACCGTATATGAATTTAAATTAACTTCTCGTAGTTGTCGCTAGTGATTTTATGGCGCTGTTGTAATTTTTAATCCTAACCCATATTATCCACGTTTCATTCGTTTTCAATAATTTGACGTGACGTTCAAAAAAAAAAAAATAAATTTAATTACATCAGTGTGTTTGTTTTACAATCATGTAATCTTAAATAATTATATACCATTAATTAGTGTTAAAAGTGAACTGTTTGGATTTTATTACAATATTATTTGATTGCAGATCTGTGTATTTGCTGGAAAGGTGGAGCTCGCCATGTTTGTGGACTGATGAGCCACGTCCTAACTTCATGGCTGTCGAATCTTGTTTAAAAAAAACTTGATTTAATATATTGAATTAATTAATTCCGTGACAAAAAGAATAGATCGATCATCAAATTCAAAATGGTATGTAAATAGAAATTGTTCTTTTTTTTGTAATTAGTTTTATCTATAGAAACCGGCACATATATAACAAAGAATATTTTTGCCCTATGACAACTTGTAAAGTATCTTTTTGACACGTCAAACTCACCACTTGTTAGTTGATCAATTAGGAAAAAAAAAAATTTTATTTAATTTTTTTCTATAATTAAGTTTAAAATTTGTTTATATTAGAAATTGTCTATTTTGATTAGTGAATGTAGATAACATACTGTAGGATTTTTTTTTCCTTGACTTTCAAAGAAAACTTTTTCGAAAATAAATTATTGAGACTGTTTTGAAATCAGGATTTTTATTATTTAAGGTTCTATTGATTTGTATTAAAGGGGATAAATTATTTGTATTTGTATTTTATTAAAATAGTTATGTAAATAATAAAAATATATCTGAATTAAAAATTAATTTTACAGCCTTTACGACTGGATATTAAGCGTAAATTAACGGCGAGGTCGGATCGAGTAAAAAGTGTTGATCTTCATCCAACTGAACCGTGGATGCTGTGCTCCTTATATCAAGGCAATGTAAATATTTGGAATCATGAAACGCAAACATTGGTGAAAACTTTTGAAGTATGTGACTTGCCTGTAAGGGCTGCAAAATTTGTATCGAGAAAAAATTGGGTTGTCACCGGTTCTGATGATATGCAAGTTCGTGTTTTTAATTACAATACTTTGGAGCGTGTTCATTCGTTCGATGCTCATAGTGATTATGTACGATGTATTGCCGTACATCCAACAGCACCTTGTATACTTACCAGTAGTGGTATGTAGATTTTAGAAAATTTTCTAATTTTTATTTCATATTTTATAATTCTATTTCTAATTTTCTATTTAATTTTCTATTTAAAAATTTCGTTCTATTAAAGAATTTCTATTTTTTAGACGATATGTCAATAAAATTATGGAATTGGGAGAAATCTTGGCTATGTCAACAAATATTCGAAGGACATACGCATTATGTTATGCAAATTGTATTTAATCCAAAGGACAATAATACATTTGCAAGCGCATCTTTGGATAGAACGGTAAAAGTATGGCAATTGGGTTCATCGACAGCGAATTTTACATTAGAGGGCCATGAAAAAGGTGTTAATTGCGTTGATTACTATCATGGTGGCGATAAACCTTATTTAATATCCGGAGCTGATGATAAATTTGTCAAAATATGGGATTATCAGAATAAAACTTGCGTTCAAACATTGGAGGGACATACGCAAAATATTTCCGCTGTTTGTTTTCATCCAGAATTACCAATTGTTCTAACTGGCTCTGAGGATGGAACAGTACGTATTTGGCATGCTGGAACTTATCGTTTGGAATCATCATTGAATTATGGTTTTGAGAGAGTATGGACAATTGCCTGTTTAAGAGGTTCAAATAATGTGGCAATTGGCTATGATGAGGGTAGTGTTATGGTAAAAGTTGGTCGTGAAGAGCCAGCAGTTTCAATGGATTCGTCAGGTGGTAAAATTGTTTGGGCAAGACATAGTGAAATTCAACAGGTTAATTTAAAGGCACTTGGCGAGGAAGTTATGGATGGTGAACGTTTACCATTGGCTGTTAAGGATATGGGTGCTTGTGAAATTTATCCACAAACAATTCAACATAATCCAAATGGTCGATTTTTGGTTGTTTGCGGCGATGGTGAATATATTATTTACACATCAATGGCATTGAGAAATAAAGCTTTTGGACAGGCATCGGAATTTGTTTGGGCAGCTGACTCGAGTCAATATGCAGTACGTGAAAGTACAACGACTGTTAAAGTATTTAAAAATTTCAAGGAAAAGAAAAGTTTTAAACCTGACTTTGGAGCTGATGGTGAGAATTTTAATTTTCTTGTAACGAATTTTTTTTTACAATTTATAAAAGAATTTTTATATAAATTAAATTGTTTTATTTTAGGAATTTTCGGTGGTTTTATGCTGGGAATATCCTCTGGATCTGGTTTATCCTTTTACGATTGGGATAGTTTGAAATTAGTAAGGCGCATTGATATTCAACCAACTCATGTATACTGGGCGGAAAATGCTTCCTTGGTTGCACTCGCGACAACTGATCAGTACTTTATTCTTAAATATCACGCGGACGTTGTTGCAAATGCGCCGGAAAATGCAGAGGACATTGAAGATGCATTCGAGGTAATTTTTTTTATTTCATTTTTCTGTTTTATTAAAATTATTTTATTTTGATTAATGAATTAATTGATTTAACAGATGGTGGCCGAGATGAATGAAGTTGTAAAAACTGGCCTTTGGGTTGGCGACTGTTTTATATATACAAACAGCGTAAATAGAGTAAACTATTTCGTCGGTGGTGAAGTTGTGATTGTGTCACATCTCGACAGACCAATGTATTTGTTAGGCTACGTTCCACGAGATAATAGATTATATCTCTGCGATAAGGAACTATCGATTGTTTCCTATTCTCTCTTGCTCTCGGTTCTTGAATATCAAACAGCGGTAATGAGAAAAGATTTCGAAACAGCTGATCGTGTTCTTCCTACAGTTCCCAAAGAGCATAGAACTCGTGTCGCACACTTTTTAGAGAAACAGGTTAGTTACATTTCCAATTTTAAATTAGCAAAAAAAATTTTCAAAAGTAGTTTTTTAAATAAAATTTTTTCCAGGGCTTTAAAGAACAAGCTCTCGCTGTATCAACGGATCCTGAGCATAGATTTGAATTGGCTCTTGCATTGGGCAATTTAGAGACAGCGTTGACCCTCGCAAAGGAGGCGAATAGTCAACAAAAATGGCGACAATTGGCAACGCTTGCCACGCAAAAAGGCAAATTACAATTGGCACAAGAGTGTTTGCATCAAGCACAAGATTTTGGTGGTTTATTATTGTTGGCAACAAGTACGGGAAATGCGAATATGATTGAAAAATTGGGCAATGCTGCAAATGAAACGGGGAAAAATAATATTGCATTTTTATCGAAATTTTTATTAGGCAATGTTGATGAATGTTTGGAAATTCTTATAAATACTGATAGAATTCCTGAGGCGGCATTTTTTGCACGTGCATACGCGCCAAGTAAAATATCCTCAATTGTGAAAATATGGAAGGAAAAATTATCGGCAGTAAGTGAAAAAGCTGGACAAAGTTTAGCTGATCCTGAACAATATGAAAATCTCTTTCCTGGTTATCGAGAGTCACTTCAAGTTGAACAATTTGTGAGAGAAAAAAGTCAAAAAAAGATACCGGCCTCGGCTTTTCCCTCAATTAAGGTGAGTTAATTTTTTTTTTTTTTTTTTAAATCAAAATAATGTAATTTGTGCTAAATGTAACAATTTTTTTATAATAGTTGAATACTGAACGCAATCCAAGAGAAGAAATGATGTCGTCTGACGAATTCAATGAAAATCATCAAAGAGAAAATTCCGAGCCGAAACTTCATGAGAATTCGTCTGATCATTCAGATGTTACAAATAGATTAATTAATTTAAGTATTAATAAACCAACGGCGGAAGCTATTGAAAAGAAGCCGCAGCCCATTTCGAGTAAATCGAGACCCCTTGTTGTTGACGATGATGATCTGGATCTCGATCTTGAATTAGATGAAAACATTGATACTAGTGTAAGTAGATTATTAATTTATTTTATTGTAAAAATTTATTTTTAATTGCAAAAAAACAAGTTTTTACATTCCTTTTTTTATTAAAATTGCGACACGTTTTACGATTACAATTTTATTCGCATTTTTCGCATGCTTTCAGTACAGATTTTCCAGAAGATGAAGTAAGTTAATTGCATCTTTGTAAAATTTAAGAAGAGTTTATTAATTTAGGTAATGAAATAAAAAGAAAAATTGAAACGAAAGTACACACATAAATTAGGTTTGCAAATGTGTGTAACTTTAGAAGAGTATTGCGTTACTAAAGTGTATACAGTCTGTGTCAGTTATAAAAAGGTCAACTTGACGTATTTGTTTTACGCGACTCAATACTATCCACAATGGCACCTTTGAATGAGCACATGTCGTTAATGTACACACACACACATATATACAGGCCCCTTACTCCATATCGTTAAATAGGCTCGTGACTCGGTTTCCAGTAGCTAAAGTGCATAATGTCCTGAAATAAAGCAAAATCCAAGTTTCTCGTCTATTTTCAAATATGTAAAATCTGAGTTTGATGGAAAAAAAATTCTTTTTTTAATTTATTATATTATTTAATTTAAAATTAATTTTCGTTTGATATTTTTATATAATTTTTTTTTTGACAATAGAATATTCTCTTATCTTGATATTTTCATTATCTTTGTTAATGTTCTTTATTTTGATTAATTAAAAATTCAAATTGTTTTGAAATTTTTTGATTTCTCGAAAATATAAAAAAAACAGTGAAGACTATTTTATGGGAAATAAGAAAAATAATAAGCTTTGGCGAAATGTGGTGGAAGTAAACTGGTTAGAACTTGGGTTATATATACCTATATGTACAGACTATAACTCAAAAACCCGGGCGCTTATGAGCGAACGGTGGAGTGTTATGGCAACAAGGCTGTAAACAAAATACACCGTGACTGCCATCGGGTAAACATGCCCTTAGGCACCAGCAAAAGCTCACTCTCTTCCATTTGTATCAGTTACATGCCGTAATGATCCGCCACTGATTTTTACGGCAAAAAAAAGGAATAAAAGAGAGAAGGGAAAGAAAAAAAAGAACACAAATTATAAGAGTTGTTAGATTTTGTAGATTTTTGACATTTATTGAAAGTAGAAATCTTAGCAAATAATAATAATAATTCCAAAATTTGCAGAATTTTTCTTTTAGAAAATAGAAATTCCAATGAAATATTTTTAAAAAAACCTTGTAATAGTAAAAAAATAGTTTAGAAATGTCAACTTACCTTCATTTTGCATACGAAAAGTTAATAAAAATAAATATTCTGTTTCAGGATGTAAATCTAGATGATGATCTTCTAGTGGATGATTAATGATTCCGTCGATTCATCGTGTCCAGATGCAAACTTTGATTTTAATATTGTTTTTTTTTTAAATAGAAAAAGAAAATATGTAAATCATTCCTTAAAACAGGGAACCGGTCTTAAAAAACAAAAAAGTATAAAGTATTACACGAGTGTAAACTTTTACGCGCTTATGATTGTTCATATTCCACATTTTCGTAAGTTATTATTATTAATTATTATTATAATCTTTATAAAGAAAAAACAAAAAATCACAAAAATTGTAACTACAAATTAAAAAAAAAATATATTGTTAATATAATTCAGAAATTGAAATTTTCGGAGAATGAAAAACAAAAAAAAATCCTTCTTTCTTTTATTTTTTATGTGAATTAAAAAAAAAAGTAGTTAATAATAATAATTGATTTTTTTACAATGACAATTTTTTTTTTCTTCTGTGAATTGGAAGAGAAAAATCACACACAAATCTTTATATACATACTAATCGGTGCAATTAGTGTGCGCTTAATTTAGTGAGGTGTAGGCGTCGCGACGAAACGGAGGTCGAGAAAACAGAGCATTTAGCACGAGCCGCATACGTGACCGTCGAGACGTGCGTGTATTCAGGCAAAATATATTATTCTTTTAAAATGCCTTTTCGTCTCGAATAAGAGAGAAAGAGAGAGAATTCGTTTTCTGTATACTGCGTTTCAAACAAAAAGGGATCAATTGAGGCGGACTTTTTTTTTTAAATTTATTTTACAAATTCTGATCTTTTTTTTTTCATTTTATAAGTAATTAAAAAAGCATTTATGTAAATAATTTCTAAATGTCTTTTTGTGATTTTTTTATCACATACAATTTTCCTTTTTCTATCAAATAGAAATAAAAAAAAAAAAAACAAAAAAAAAAAAAACAAGTTTTATCAATGTAAGTATTTTATATTGATTTTAATCATGTACGAAGAAAGTGGAATTACAATTTTCAATAAAATATATTTTAATGTATAATTTTTTTGAAGATCCTATTTTATTTGATTTTTTCCGCAGAGCAAATTTATTCCGAATTCTAATTTTAATTATTTTGTAATTAAATTTATATTGGAATTTAAAAAAAAAACTTTTTTTAAAAAAAATAAGATATGGGAAGTAAAGGGAATAAAAAATGGTACGTGTGAGTCATGTTCGTGTCAAATTATTATAGAAGAGTGATTCTTTGTTAACACAGCAAAAAAAAAAAAAAAAAAAAAAAAAAGATTGAAGCAGTTGTTGGAGCACGAAGAGAAGAAATCAGCACGTTTAAAACTTTTGTATTATTCTGCAGTTTTAGAATCAGCTTCGAAAACTCAAGTTCCGCAGTCAATGAACTTTCTGATATATTTTATATCGATGAAATTTTGTTGAAATGAAGAAATGCGGATGTAGAATAGCACGTACGATCACGTTTTCTTGAATGTTATATGAATTTCTCGAAAATTTAAGATTAGACGTCATTCCTCCTTCGGCTCATTTGTAAAATCTATTATTTTTTATTGAAACAATCGCACATAAAGGAAATTGCAAAATTATCGGAAAATCATTATCAATAAAATCCATAGAAACAATTTTAGATTTCAAAATTGAATATTTTACCGTTTATTTCTATTTGCAGTAATTTTTTTTCAATTTATTATTTATATAGAATTTGCTTTTTTTTTGAGAATAATTTAATGCAAAAGGGAAGTAGGGGAGAAGAAAAAGGTTGAGATTAATTAACTTCCTTTCCACTCATTCGTGTCAGAATTAACAGAATGCTTGTAAAGAAGCGTAAAACCCTCCAGCTCGAAAACAGAAATAACTCTAATCTTGACACTTGACAACAAATTACTCGTGCGTAAGCTTTAAAATCCCTCTAAAAGTCATTAGTACATAATTCTTGAATAAAATAATGGGAATTGAAAATAGTCACCATCTTTCTTTTTTCAGATACATGGATTTTTTATTTTCAAAAATTAAAATTTGTTCTTTTATTTGAATTATTTTTTGATCAAGTTAAATTTAATAATTGAGAAAGGAAAGTTTTTTTTTTTTTGATAATTAAACAGCAATTTTAAACTAAACTAAAAATTTAATTTTTAAATAATCAAAAAAAAATATATTTCATTTTTTAAAGTGTTTCAGATTGTAACTGTCTTCATATAATAAAATAATCAAATTCAACGAAATGATTGAAAATTCGGATTTAGATGGAAAAAATTTGTCAATTCAAATTGATTTATAATATTTTTTCTGTTATCATACTTTATTATTTATTTGTTTCATTTCGGTTTACCAATTATTTGTCATCTGAAATAAAAAATAAATAAATAAACTGTCAAGTTTTAACAAAAAAAAAAAAAAAAAAAGAAGTAAAATCTTTAATCTCAATCCAAATAAAAATACTATTCCGTAATGTCGACAGAGTTCGATGACGAGAAACTTTCAGCTGTCGTGCGTCAATCATTATTTATACCCCGAATTTTTTTTTCGTCACGAATTTATATTTTCTAAAAAAAAAATATAGGAACCTAATTTTAATAATTAAATTAAATCAATTTTAATAATTAAAGTTAACAATTGAATTGAATTGAATTATTTTTAAAAAAATTCCTCAATAATAATTTCCGCCCGTAATAATTAATTTTCTTTTTATGAGTAAATTTCAATTTTTATTTATATTTCTAAATAATTTATTTTAAATTACAAATTCCATATGTATAATTTTTATTTAATTATTAATTTAATTTAATTTTCAATTCTTTTGAAACAATTTTTGTACTAGAAAGTATTTTTATTATTATTATTATATTTTTTTTATTGTCAATTTATAAAATTTTATGTGAATTAGATTTTTTTTTATTATATTTCAATTATAAAAATTGAAATAATAAAACCGATATATTCAGAAACATATAAATTGAGAACCGCTGTTTCTGTTCTCGTGGGTGGAGCTCGATAGCAACACCCATTTCTCTCCCGTAATTTTTCTTGGTTTTCAATCTCTTGTTGAGAAGCAAAAATTACATGTAGTTTTTTAAAAATTATTTATCAATCTAATCACAAATAAAATAAGAAACAAATTTTTAATTCAATTTTTTTAAATCAAAATTTGCTTTTTTAAATAATTTTTTTTCTGATTAATAAGTAATTAAATAAATAACAATAAATAATTATAAAAATAAGTCATATAATTATTTATAAAAATTAAAAATTTGTATTATTAAAAATAATGAAATAATTATATAATTTTATTAATATATATTTAAATATAATTATAATATAATTGTAATATTATTTTATTATAATTATAATTAATAAATTTTTATATATAAACATTTCATAATGTCAGATACCTATATATATATTATATAATCTGTTGATTCCACGAAATGAAAGATGATGCTTTTGCACATTAATAAAAAAGGATCGAGTAAAAATCTTTTTGTAATTCAATCTTATAATTTATATGTTGTAACGATATATTGAATACATTACGTAAAGTATATGAAGAAAATCTCATATTATCAGATTCAATATACATTTTATCTTTTAATGATTTTAAAATAAATTTAACTATACAATACACATTGCATTTCCACAATATGAGAATATAATAATTATTATAAAATATATATTATACGAAATACTGCGTCTCCATTATACAGTCGTCGAATATCTATATCTATATTTATTTATATAGAGTAATTAAAATTAAAACAATAAATAAAATCTCATTTTTCTTTTTTTTTTTAATTATATATCTTCAGAGAAAGCACGTATACACTATTAGTTTTTCAACATAAAAAACGCAAAAAAAAAAAAATTCGCTACTTGTGTTTCGTAATAAGCCTCTCTATTAACGAATTTCGAGGACGGTGGAGTTTTCATTTATTTTTTTTTTTATTACCCTTTTTTAAAATAAATTCATGACGACTTATATAATTGAACATTGTTCAAAACTTAAATTTACTATAATATTAAATTTTATACATGAAACGAATAATTATCTTTACAAGTGAAAAAATATCTTTACAAAGAAAATGAAAAAAAAAAAAATATGAGAAAATTATTTTATGAAGATTATTATATTACGATTACATCACAACTGTTAAAGTTGTAATCAATTTTTGGTTTCTATAAGTGTTCATATATAGGAGATAATCGTACACTTAACTATATATATAGCTATATTATTAAATTTACATCAATATTTATTACACGTTAATTTTAACTGTTTTTAATTTTTTTCCTTTTTAGCAATGTAGCGAGTTATATAATATTTTTTTATACACATATGCAGAATTTTTATCAGTCAGCCTTATACTGCAATTAACACACTTTTCAAGTAAAAAAAATTTTCTTTAAAAAATAATTAAAAACCAAAACCAATTTTCTATATGTACGCATGTTTTTCGCTATAGTTTTTTTTTGTTTATTTATTTAAAATAACAATAAATGAATTTTTTAGTGAAAAATTTTAATTCAGTAATTTAAAAAAAAATTATTATTATTATTATATTATTAGATTTTTAGTAATAATAATATTAAGAATAATTGAGTAATTAACGAAAAATACTAAGTAAAAATTACTATAGAGTAAAAAGAATAGAGTAAAATTCTTTTGTGCAAAATAGAGGTGAACAATTATGTTACGCGATTTGCGACGGCACAAATATATATGTATCTAATATATTTCTTGCTCTCAACAGTCAGCGCTGATATTAATCAAGTTGGAATTATTTTTGAAATTATTCCAAGGTGGAGAGAAATACACACACGAATTTTGTTCCAAATTTTGTTAACTATAGAAAAATACATGCGTAAATAAATCAAAATATAATTTCCATATAGAAAAATTGTTTCTAAATTTTTATTCCATACCCTTTAACTGACAAGAAGAAATAAAATTTTACAAAAGTAATGAAAAAAAAAAAAAATATCAAGCAATTAAAGGATATAAATTGAAGTTTTTGTTGCCAATTTTAAAAAGTGTACAATAAAACTCGAGTTTCTATATAATAATACAAAAGAAGGGGGAGAAAGGGGGGCCACGCACAGCCAAATGTAATGTGATAAATAGAATATAAATTTAAATCATAACTTAATAACTAGACGCAATTGTTTATTTATTTATTTTTTTTTGTAAATCTTATTTTTTAACGTCAATTATTATTGGAGATCAGGATCGATACGTTTTTTCGCATACAGAATTGTAACATAATCTCGAAAAGAGATGATTGAAAAGTATACGTGATCCAATAACAGCCGCATACGTTGAAGATTATATTGAATAATATAATATTTCTGACGTACCTGCATTTAACATCTTTTTTTTCTATTTAGTACAAGCGTTTGTTACTATCGACAAATGGTGATGAGACAGATCCTACCATATTTGATACAACACCAAGTGGTGGTGACATGCCACTCGGTGACACTGTCGTACTTCCCGGTTCTTCTTTTATAACTGGAAAAACGAAAATTAAAAATTCCGATTTTTTACATTAAATCCGAAAATTTATTCAATATTTTTTTTTTTATTTTAATTTAATAAATATAAAAATTATAAATAAATATATAATTTCATTTTATTTTATTTTATAATTTAATTTGAAACAAAATATATTTAAAATTTATTGAAATGATAATTATCTGATACAAATAAATATATTTATTTTATAATATACATAGTACAAATAATTCAATTATTTGAAAGAAAAAAATTTTTTTCATACGATTAATAAAAATTTGAATTTTTCAAAATTATTATTTGCTCGAATTTTTATTAAACAAAATAATTTTTATATTATAAAATAAATATTAGAATTAATTCTTTACTAGTTGAATTAAAATAATTTGTTCGAAATTACATCCAAAAGAATTTTTATTTTACAGAATGAATATTAGAAATTTTTTCTAGCCGAATTTTCATTTGTTCGAATTTATGTTTAAAATATAATTCTTAGAACTCCGAATTTTTATTTTACAGAATTTTCATTTATCCATATAAATATGTGACGTTCCATGAGGAAAGGGACCTTAGCTGCAAAAAAATGAAAATTGAGTTTTTGATATCAGTCGATAGATCTTGAGTTGCTCTTTCAGATACAAAAGTTAAAAATTGTACTTTTCTATTTAGTTTTTTTGTTATAAAGCATTAATCATTACCATGTTAATCGCGTTCCAGCACGGACTACAGAAACCATCCCCACCACTTCTACACTAGTATACTTGTCGTAAGCGTGAGCTGTAGGAACGATGTAGTAGTAAGGTGGTGGGGCTGATTTTCGATGGAGGGTCTCAACCAATCAGGGACGCTCCACTTTAAATATCTTTTCTGGAAAATGCGTCTATTGCAGCTAAGATCCCTTTCCTCATGGAACGTCACATATGTATCTAGCAACAAAATTTGGACACAAGAAAAACGAAATAATATTTCGTTGATAAATTCTGATTTGTCAATTTTTAAATTTGCACCCTTTTTCTTTCTAATTTTCGTTTTTTTTTTTTTTTTTGTAAAATAAAACTTCTTTTAAAAGGAGACGCCAGTATTAAATTTTCGTTGTTCCTTCCCTATTCTATCTAAAAGAAAATCGAGTAAATAATAATTTTGTAAAATGAAAATTCGATGAAATAAAAAATCTATAAATTGAAAATTCATTTAACTAACAATTTTGATAATATAAAAAATTCGTTTAAATGGAATTTCTGTAAAATAATAATTCGAAGAATTAAAAATTCGACTAAATGGTAAATTCGCGACAATTAAATTCTGTCAATTGAAAATTCTAATTTTTTTAACTTATTGATAGATAAGGAAATTAATTAATTAATTATAAAATAAAATGAAAAAATATTATTTTGAAAATCTTGATTTATGGACATACCATCGGACCAATATGGATATCTTGAGGACATGGTATCAGCGGCAACTGTTGCAGTTGTATCGTACCTTCTTCCACATGTGGAAAAATTACTACCAAATGAACTTCCACTCATTGAAACCGGTGAACCTGTCGCACTGCCTGGAACATCGAGGTAATTTCCTTGAAACGCTTTGACTGGACGTCGAATAATTTCAATCATGGAATATCTTCCGTTGAATTAAAAGAAGTTGAGAACTCACCTAAGGATGAACTTAATTGACCGTAACCATTCATCGATGGAATCTGCATGGACTGCATTGGCTGCAATTGTTGCTGCAGCTGAAAATAAAAAATAGAAGCGATTTTTCATATTATTCTTGTGAAAAGCAGAAAAGAAGAAAAAAAAATACATACGGAAAATGGCACGAGAAAAAAGATTAAAAAAAAAAAGAAAACTAAAAATATTAGAAGAAAATTATAAATTTTATATAAAATCCACAAAAAAATAGATTAGAACAAAATAAGAAAATAGAAACAAGAATAGAAAATTAATAAGAAAAAACAAGAAAAGAAAAAAGAAGAAACTAAAATTTGAAATAAAATTTGTCTATAAAAAAAAAACAATTAAATCCAATTAATGTTTTTATGACTAAAAAATCAGTAAATTATTATTACCGCTTGACAATGTGAATAACTCGAAAATTGTGGTTGCCAGGAGCTGAAAAAAAAATAAGAAAAATATATTTGATCGTGATAATTAAATACAGATAATTTTAAATTTTGCTATCTACTAATTTTTGCTATTTTTTAATGAATAGTTAATAATTAATTAATAAAAAATAATAATTATTATAATTAATTAAAAAAAAAATTATTTTATCTTTTTTGCTATTTTTTTTATAAGTATATACCAAATATTATATAATTCATAACAAATACCTGGTATCGTATCGAGGATATGGAGGAGCATAAGACGGTGGCGAATGAGCAAAAAGATTTCTAGTTGCACTAAGATGAACATGACTCGTTGAATAAGGATCACTAAATAGACTTTTTGGATGATAAGAAGTATTTCTGTATGGACGTTTCATACGTCTTCGTCTACGATAATTGCCATGTTCAAACATATCATCGTATTGTGGATCTACCAAAAAATAAAAATTCCAAATCCCAACTGTTTATTACATAATACAAAATGATTAATCATAAATATTAAAAAAAAAAAATAAATAATTATAAGTATTAGTAAACAAATTTAAAACAAAATTTTTTGTAAATTGTAAAAAAAAGAACAGAAAAATTTTCTAAGATTTTTGAATTTTTTTTTTATATTTATTTTAGTACTAAAGCCCATGTTATCGTCACACAGAAGAGTTGATTATAATTTTTTCAGTAGTTGAAGTTGGTGTTCAGTCAGACAAAAGCTTATGAATTGTTGGACAATTTTAGATTTGAATTCAAAAATATTATTTTCTTTGATAAAAATATAAATATTTTTTGTTAATTTTATTATTCAATTTATTGTTTAAATATTTATTGAAAAACAAATAATTTAAAAATTAACTTTTTTGAAAAATATAACGTAAGTAAAGAGAAATTTGATTTCACTAAAAAAAAAATCAAATTTAAATCCAAAAAACGGATTTTTTTGAAATTTTTAAGAAAAATATTTGTATCAACCCTGACTCAAATAGTAATTATTTTTATAAATATTTATTTTATAATAGTCAAGTACACAATTATTTGAATTTTAATTATTTAACGCGTTAGAAAATTTGACTAATTATTTATTTTAATTAAAAATTTTAGTAGATTTTAATTTATTTTTTATAAAATTCTTTTAGTTATTCATTTTTTTTGACTTTTCAAAAATTTTTTTTTTGATTAATTACGAATAATATAAATTACTAAATATAAAAAAAAAATGAAATAAAAAATAAAATGAAAATAAAAAATAGAAATAAAAAAATTAATTAATTTTGTTTAAATAAAGTGGCCTAAAAATGGTGTTCAACCAAAATATACCGAAACGTTACAAAAAATCAAATACAGTGGAATCTTTATTATCCGAATCGTAAAATATTTATCCGAACTTTTTTTTGCTTTTCCGAATCTTAAAATTGATTTTTTATATTTTTTTTCATTTTAAAAATTTTATCATTCAAATTTCGCTAAAAAAAACAAATAGATTTAATTTTTCAAAGCAAAAAAATTTTTTTTCATTATATATGGGCGAAATCACGTAAGATTTCCGTCGACCCTTTAAAGTCGGCCAAATATATTTTTTTCTTATTCTGTAGTGAAAAAAAGAGGTACGTATTTTTTTATTTTTTGAAAAATTTTCGAGTTATGAATTTTCAAAATTTCAGTTTCTTCAATGTAGACCTATTTTCAATGGCTGATAACTCGAAAAAAAGAAGAATTTTTTCAATTTTTGATAACAAAAGAAAAGATTCAGTTTTTCTTTTACTTTTCAATAATGTTAACAAAAAAAATTTTTTTTTCATTTTTTATTAAAAAAATATCAATTTTTTATTTTTAAAATTTTATCATTCAAATTTCGCTAAAAAAAGAAAACAAATAGATTTAATTTTTCAAAGCAAAACAATTTTTTTTTTCATTATATATATGTAAAAAAAAAAAATGGACTCACCAAGTGTCCAAAAATTGCCCTTCCTCTCGGCGCCACCTTCTCTTGGTACTTTTTGAAAACATTCATTCAACGACAAATTATGTCTAATTGAATTTTGCCAACCCTTTTTATTATTCATATAATATGGAAAATTTGTCGTGATATAAGAATAAATTTCACTCAATGTTGCACGTTGATGGGGACTACTTTTAATAGCCATTGCAATTAATGCAACATAACTATATGGTGGTTTAGCAGTTGTTGATGTTGCCGATGATGATGATGTTGAATTTGTACCAGAAACATTTGATTCCGAATCATTTGCATTTGTTGCCAATGATGATGCACTGGTTATTGAATTATTATTATTATTGTTACCATTGTTTGTACTTTGTCCAACAACAGTCAATGAAATATCTTTTTCCTTCAATTTATTATTATGATTATGATGTTGATGATTATTTGAATGACCTAATGAATTTGATGTGAGAATTGATAATTCATTTGTTGCACTATTGTGATTATGATTATTTTGATTTATTATTGTTGATTGTTGGGCGCTTAATGATTTTGACAAATTTCCTATTGACGATGAATCAAGTGATTTTGTTGAACCACTCATACAGCTATTGTGACTGTGATTGTTTTGATGTAGTTGAAGTGAATTTAAAGATTTTGATATAATTGGTAAATCGGGACTTTTTGATGTTGTACTCATACAGCTGTTTGACTGTAATTCCAAGACGAAATTGTTCACTGAAAAATTAAAATATAGACAATTTTTTAAAATTATAATTATACAATTTAAAAAAATTTTTAAACTACTGAAAATTTGGATATTTTTTTGAAATTCAGAATATTAGGAATTTAAAAAAAAAGTATATTTAACACTATTATATAATTTTATTGATCATAAGTAAAAAAGGTATTAATTTGCAAAGTTATATGTATTATATATCCTGAGTCACGTGCTCCCTAATCGGCTATCAAATTCTACTACATATATATGATATACAGAATATGGTTAATAATTTTTATGTTTTTGATTTTCTTTTTATATAACAATAATATTTATTATCATTATTATTTATATAAATAACTAGTAAAATTATATGTTTACAGGCCTCGGATTATACTTTTTCCGACTTTTTTCAAAAATACGACTTTTATCGAATAATTTTAATAAAATGCGACATTTTTTTTGCATTTGAAAAAAAATGTAAATAAAATACATTTTTTTAGTATAAAATGTAGATCTTCTTCAGATCATCTTCAATTCAATTATTTAACAAATTTTGAACTAAAATGATTCTTCACTAAATTAATTATTTTTAATAATTTTAATGAAATACATCACAAATTCAATTATATCAAAATTATTTTTCAATTAAAATTTTTATAAAATTTAACAATTGTTTATAATTTAAAAAAAAATAAACAATAAAATTGAATTATTTTTTAAAAATTTCAATTCAAAATAAACTAAAATTCAATTATTACCCGAAATTTTAATTCAAAATCATAATTAAAAATCTAATAATTATCAAAAATTTTCAATTTAAAATTTAATTATTTACCAAGTTTTCAATTTAAAATGAAATAAAATTCAATTATTTTTTAAAAATTTCTATTCAAAATTAATTATCCAAATTTTCAATCAAAAATTAACTTAAATTAAATTATTATCCAAAATTTCAAGTAAAATTCAATTATTTCCCAAAATTTTCAATTCAAAATGAACTGAAATTGAATTATTTTCCAAATTTAAAATCAAAATTAAATTTCATTATTCTCAAAAATTTGAATTCAAAATTAATTGAATTTTCAATCATTTGAATTTAAAAGCATCTAAAATTTAATTATTTCTAAAATATTTTCCATCGAAATTTTTTTTTGAAATTTAATAATTTCAATTATAACTCTAAGGAAATTGAATTATTTTTAACTATTTTAATAATATTCTTTGAAAATTCAACTATCTGAAACCATTTTTCAATTAAAAATGATTTTCAAATTATTGTATTTTGTCCGCATTTTCTAATAAATTTTTAGTGAAATCATCGAAAATTTTAATTACAATACACTTAAAGTTTCAATTAATTTCAAAAATCTCAATTTTAAATCTTTGAAAATTCAATTAAATTTAAAAAATGTTTTCCAAAAATTGTTTGATAAATTATTTTTAGTTCTGTAAAATTTAATAATTGTTTGAAAATTAACAACATCTTTTGAAATTTAATTATTTCTAAAAATTTCATCTTTAACCCTTCGAAAAGGATTATTATTGAAAAAAAATTTTTATTTAAAAATCTATAAAATATTTTTGTTAAAATAAAAAACAAATCCACTTTTTTTTGGAATATAAATCGACTAAAACGACTTTTTTGTGTCTTTAAGTTGATTCGAGGCCTATGTTTTTATAATTAATATTTAATAGGTATTCGTTGGCCCCTGGTATCTTAAAAATTAATTTTTTAAAATTAATTTTTTTCAAATTACTATCTTGTACGAAATTTCCTGGCGCATCTTTTTTCTCATCATAAATTTTTTGTATTTGTATACAATTTTTGAATCAATATACAACTTTAAAAAAAATTTTGTTGGTAAACGTTGTGTACTTCAGCTTCGTGAATTGAATTTTCGAATTTGGAATTTTAAAGAAACTTATTCCGAAATTTGGAAACACAATTATACAACTTTGGCAAAAATGAGAAAAAGAATTGTCAAAATTTACCACGTCATAAGATTACTATTCATAAAAACACGTGAAATAAGAAATGGCCAACTTCAAGTTATAGGACAGACCAAGCATTTTATTATTATATAATAGTGACAATAAATTTTTATTTTTATATTTTACTTTTATTTTTTTTAAAGTTTATTTATTTTATTTTTATTACTTTTTAATTTTTGATGGGGTTATTATCATAAAAATAGATTTTTTTTTGAAAACGATTTTACAAGCATGTATATCATAAGTTATGATACATGTGTAAAATTGTTGAAAAAAAAAATTAATTTTCATTTGATGATCGCAATATAGTAGTCATCATAGAGTATACAGGTCGAAGATCATAGCGAGTGGAAAATCATATCCATATCGCATTCTTGAAACATTGTGCGAGTTCCACGAGGAAACGTGGTATTCAGTGCGCCGATAAGCGAAATACAATACAATTCGTGACATCACTTTGCGAATTACCAAGTCTCCGTAAGCTATACTTGCGAGATTGTTTGCCAGCTTTCAGTTATTGTTATTATTATTATTATTATTAGTAAAATTATTTATAACTAATTCATAATTTAGTATAAAAAATTTCAATCACTAATTTAAAATTAATTATCAAATTTTCCTACTCCAAAGGCACTGAATAATAAATTAGTTCTAATAATTAGTAATAATAATAATAAATAATAATAATAATAATAAAAAGTAAAAATAATTAAAAATATTAAATTGTAAAAATAATTAGATAATAAATAAATAGTATAATAATAATAATAATAATAATAATAATAATAATAATAATGAAAAATAGTACACTGAAAAAAAATTATTTGATTCAAATAATTGCTGGTTTACAAATAAATATTCTCTTGAACCAAATAATTTTTATTTAATCTTAAATGAATTGTATTTGGACCAATAATTTTTGTACTTTAAACAAATACCATTTAATTGACTCAAATAATAATTATGTTTGATACAAATAAATTTTTTTTCACTTACGGAAAAAATGAAAAAGTAATTTTTACTACTTTCAGAGTAAAACGGGAACTGTCTGAAGTTTCTGCGCATCTCTGGCAACTTTTACTCCAAAAATAGTAAAATTTACTTCAGAAATAGTAAAAATTACTACGGAAACAGTAAAATTTACTACAAGAAATAGTGAATTTTACTATTTTTGGAGTAAAATTTGCCAGAGATGCGCAAAAACTTCGGACAGTTTCTGTTTTACTCTGAAAGTAGTAAAAATTACTTTTACTTTTTTTCCGTGGCTGTAATAATAAATAGTAATAATAAATCATAATTTATTTAAATAATAAAAATTTTTATTTTTTTTTATTTTTTTAAATAATTCTTTTTTAATATAAAAATAAATAATAAAAATTTATCATATATATAAAAGAAAAGATATTTTAAAAAGAACAATAAATGACATTCAATAAACGATTATGCATGAAACCTACTTTCTTATATTATATAAATGTATGTCACCTAATATTGTTAATTTGCTTATTTTGTCATATAATTGTCATTAAAGTTTTGCCTCTATATAATATATATACAATGAATACAATATATTATATATTATTATATTATAATATATATTGAAGCACAATGTATATATATTTTCTCCTAAGAAGATATATATATAAATATATATATATATATATATATATATATATGTATAAAGTTGCGACAATTTTTTATAAGAATCATGACTCGATTGATGCAATATAATAATAATTAAAAAAAAAAAAAGAAGTAACGTTTTCGTCCTTGCAGACTTTTACACTCTCAGCAAAAATCTGAAGAAGACTTCTTTTCTTTTTTACGTAATTCAATTACGAAAAACATTCTTTCATTATTATTATTATTATTATTATTATTATTATTACGCTGACATTGTCATCTTTTTCGATTGTGAAATTATATGCAAATCGAGATGAAATTGACTTTGAAATTATTTATATCAACCAATCCACGGAACTTTACGATTTTAATAAATATCAAATATAAAATTTTTTAAATTGCAAGCAAACGGATTATTACTATTTTATTTTTTATTTATATTTATTTATTTATTTTATTTTAACTAATTTTTATTATCTACTTTTATTTATTATTTATTTATTAGTTGTTTTTCATTTATTTTTTATTTATTGTTTATTTATTTTTTTTTATTATTTATTTACTATTTTGTTATTTACCTAAATATTAATTTAAAATAATTCTAATTTCACCAAATTTCGATTCAATATAATTCCCATTCAAAAGAATTTTAAGTGATATCTCAAATGTTAGAATTTCCACTTCACCGAATTTTCATTTGTCCGAATTTTTGTTTGTACGAATTGTTGTTTGACAGAATTCCGTAAACACCGAAACTTCATTTGTCAGAAATTGCAAATAACCGAATAAAAAATCAACAAAAAAAAATTTCGGCGCGATTTTTAAAACTCACCAATCAGAAATTACAAAAAAAAAAAACAAATTGTGATTGTTTAAAAATCGAGTTGAAACTTTTTTGCATTTTCAGCAACTTTTGTTTTTCACAAATAGAAAAAATTACTCCTAAAATAGTAAAGTTCACTCCAAAAATAGTATTTTTTACTATTATAAAAAGCTCCCACTTTAGGATTTACTTTTAAGTATATATATAGTAAAAAATTACTTTATTTTTGTTGTCCATTTTTCTCCATATAAAAAAAAATGCTGTTCTATAAATATAAATTCGTTTCATTGTAACTTGTAATGTTATTAAATAGTTACAATAATATATATATATATATATATATATATATATATATATGACGTGGCGCAAAAAAAGGTGATGAAGGTGAGTTCATCGCGTGAAGCAGATGCGGGATAAATTATATTGTTTTGTGAGGTGTCACATGGCATATATGAATCTCTGGTTACAGTCAGGTGTGATTGCCAACTAATGTTATCATAATCTTGCGCGATGTTTGCTTAAACATCTCTTTTTCTTCAAAGAAACATGAACAACATTTAATAATAATGACAATTG